TAGATCTGTTAAAACGCTGAAAACATCAGGAAGTTTCTCGGTCCATTCAGGCGGCTCTTTTCCTGTGTCTTTGGTTGTACGGATAACGGCAATCGATCAGCAGACAAGCGTGTTGGCGTCCCTTGATCGGCCCAGTTTAGTATGCACAACCATGCGACTACATCTTAGTCCCGGAGCTTTTATCTGAATAAACGGCGACCAGGGTCGAGCGATGGTGCAGATGCGCAGGATACTCGAACCAGGTACTTTGCAGTAGCGACATTAAACTGCTGCAGCCTGGGCCCCAACTGTACAATGGTGTTTCTTTTTAATTTCGGCGCCAATTGGCCGGCGATGTCAAGTTACTTTTCTCTAGTCTGACTCGAGCCGAGAACTTGACAAGATGTTTTACTGATGCTCGTTTCTTCTTTGAACGTGTAGCGCTGACTGTGTACCGGAAATAGACGCCTTACAGCTAACTGTTACGTCAATGGGCGTGTGTCTGGATCCTACTCCGCCTTCGACAACAACACGGTGAGCATGACGCAAGTTGGTGTCTTGCATCTGGTGGAGTAATATGAGCCACGGCGAGCTGAGTATGGAGCTTTGCTGTAGCCTGCAAGTAAGCAGACATGCACACTGCCTCTCCAATATTGTGGCGCGCTTCGCTGTCATGCCCGTACCCACTAAGGCGTTTCGGTACAGCAGTATCAGATCTTAGGGAATACTGTTGAGCATTTCTTTTCTGCGAAGTCGTTCTGCATGGCGCGAGTAATGCTGTGAGCAAACGCCCGTGAAGCCTCACCGGTAGGGTGGCGTCGCAAAGGGTCTTGCAGCCCTGCGATTCTCCACTGTTACCCCAGTTTGCATGTGTTGCAAAGCCTACTCAAGTCCATGATTGTCACACTCTGTATTGGCAAAATCTTTCCGGTCGCCTGCAGGCTGTCGGATGCCAACATTGCTCCCCAAGCCACGTAGCGAAGCACGCGGCCTTCGACTCAGGCACTTTAAAGTGGCAAGATGTGAGCATTGCAAGCTGTACCGAAACATCGAGGCCTCAATTGAGCTGTACATTTGTGCCTAGCTAAGGCAGCCGGTGCATTCGGATGCATATCAATAGTCTTCGTTTGGGACGAAACGTCATGGAAACAGTGGAAACCATTCCAATCAGGCGATTGTATGCGAGTGAAAATGCCAGATTGGGCCTAAGACGGACAGCGATGCGCTCTCAGAGGCCAGGGTTACGAGATGGTGATGTTGTCGTCGGAACAGAGGTTCGGGACCCCTCTCAGAAGTCCGAGACGCTCGCCGGACGCGGCCTAGCGCTTATCACATTAGTACAGATCGTCGCGACTCGCTTGCCCTTCTCGAGATTCTTCTACTCGCTAGCTCGACTATCAAGCTTTCCAAGCCTCGGAGACGCTTCTCAACTTCATGGAGAGCCCGGTTCCGGGCCCTGGCCCGCGTGCTATCCATAGTATACCATCTACGCCTTGCACCGACATGTCAAACTAGTCCTCTGAGACCCCGCTTCATGCGTAGCCAGGGCACCACTACCCCCTGCAGCCGCTCCACAGCCTGCTGAAGTGGCTTTCCCAAAGTACACAGCTCAGACATGCCTGCAGCTCTGCCGACCGTCTGGTCTGTCGTCCTCGGTCGAGGTTTGGAGCCAGCTTCGGTATGTCTAGCTGCATTCGGTCGTGCAACGCAAGTAATACCGACATTCACCTCCTCCTCAACCACTTAAAATTCTCCTTTTTTCTGCTTAGGGCTGATATGCAGCCGTCTCTTGTGCTCGCCTTTCCGGGCAAGTGGTCATAATCAGCATCTATACCGTTCATGTGCCGCACACCGTCGTGATGGCGATCTTGGTATCTGCCACAAGCCGCGGCTACACTTTGATATGGAGGTATCATGTCAATTACTAGTGGTGGGAACACTTCACCACTAGTCACCCGTGCCGTTTAGGGCTATTGTTCGACCCACTAATGAATCAAGGCCAGTCTGCCATGCTTTGGTTTATATTACTTGTACCACCCATTCTCTGGCAGGCCAGCCAGCCTTCGCTTCTCTTTGTACATCAGAATCTTGGTCGGAGCTGCATTCGTTGGCCCTACTTTTGAAGGGTCCGGTAGCTTTCCTTTGCAATTGCGTCTTTTTCTTGAGCTTTCATTACTACATCATGGTCTCTTCAATTTCGAGGGTGGTTACCGCCCTTGGGCTTCTTTTGCCCACTGTCACTTCATCTGTTGTACCTCATAAAAGTCTCGCCCCCAGAACACCGGAGGTTCCTTGGAAGAACACTGGTCTCTTCAGTGGACACAGCAAACGACAAGGATATGAGACTGCCTGTAATCATGGTCCAGAATCAAGAGGATGCTGGATTGACGACTTCAACATCGACACCGACATGGATGTTGAATGGCCAGATACTGGAAAGACAGTCAAGTATCACCTGACCATCACCAATACCACTGGAGCTCCAGACGGTTTTGAAAGGCCGATGTTCTTGATTAATGGCCAATACCCAGGACCAGTAAGTGCTGTGTTAAAATGCCAATAATTCTTTTCTAATGAGTCATAGACTATTACTGCCGACTGGGGAGATGTTCTAGAGATCACAGTTACCAATGGCCTTGAAAACAACGGTACAGGTATACATTGGCACGGTCTGAGGCAACTCGGGACAAACGAACAAGATGGCGTAAATGGTATCACTGAATGCCCAATCGCACCCGGTGACTCCAAGCTCTACAGATTCAAAGCAACTCAATATGGCACTACCGTAAGTATCACACACTGTGTGTGTATGACATGTTTCCGGAAGACGGCTAACCGCTACAGTGGTATCACTCGCACTACTCGGTGCAGTATGGTGACGGCATCGTGGGTCCTCTGATCATCAAAGGACCCTCAACGGCGAACTACGATATTGATCTTGGCGCTTTCCCAATGACTGACTGGTTTCACGCAACCACCTTCACCGTCAACGCTGCAGCCGTTCATGCAAATGGCCCTCCAACTGCTGACAATGTCCTTGTCAATGGCTCCATGACCTCATCTTTTGGCGGCAAGTACGCCGAAACGATCCTAACTCCGGGAAAATCTCACTTGCTGCGTTTGATGAACGTTGGTATTAACAACTACCTTCATGTCGGCCTCGATGGGCATCAGTTCCAGGTCATTTCGGCTGATTTCACGCCCATTGAACCTTTCTACACGGACAGCTTGGTCCTTGCAGTCGGTAAGTTGAACCGAAGTTGTGTCCAGATGCAAGCCCGTTTTGTTTATCACAACATCGTTCTGTGTGACGACACCCCGGCCACGAGAATGTAGTCGAAATAGCCACTGTTGATGAACGTTTCACTAACAACGTCGCCAGGTCAACGGTATGAAGTCATCATCAACGCAACTGAAGCTGTGGGCAACTACTGGCTACGTGTTGGTACCGGCGGTAACTGCGACGGTCCCAATGCCAATGCAGCAAATATCAGGAGTATCTTCCGATATGCTGGCGCTCCAACTGAAGACCCAGACACGACTGGTTCGCTTCCGTCGGGCTGCTACGATGAGGATGTTGTACCCTATGCCAAGACGACTGTTCCTCAGGAGATGCCCGAACAGTTGAGCGTGGGCTTCAACCCTAACTGGACTAGTGACGTGACGCAAAATCAGGGTCTGGTCCAATGGCTCGTCAACGGTAATCCCATGGCAGTTGATCTTGAAGTCCCTACTCTGCAGTCGGTGTTGGATGGCAATGTTACCTACGGAAACAACCGCCACGTGTTTGCAGTCGACGAGAAACACCAAGTAAGTCGTCCCCTGTACTTAGTACTGTTTAATGGTCATTAACAAAGGCTTCAGTGGCAATATTGGGTCATCCAACAAAACAGTTCTAACCCACCACTTCCTCACCCCATCCACCTCCACGGCCACGACTTCTACGTCCTCGCACAGGTCGAAAACGCAGTCTGGAACGGAGATATTTCAACCCTGAAGACGGACAACCCCATCCGTCGGGACACGGCCGATCTTCCCGCTGGAGGCTACTTGGTCCTTGCTTTCGAGTCGGACAACCCTGGCGCATGGCTTATGCACTGCCACATCCCCTTCCACGTTGCTGCCGGTCTCGGTGTCCAGTTCCTCGAGCGCGAATCCGAAATCAAGGCCCAAGATGGATACGCAGAGATGCACAGGACATGTGCTAACTGGCAGTCATGGCGCTACAAGTACCATCCCAATGGCATCTTGTTCCCCGGTGACTCTGGTCTACGTCGTCGCAACTAAACAAAAGAAAATGCAAAAGAAAACAATTCAACCTACATGTCCACTTTTTTTTTTCTTGCCTGGGTGGTTAATTGTTCTCCATTTCTCAGGTTTTTACCGAGGGATCTTTCCCGAGGGTCGCATTCGATATCCCCTTGTTCTTGTCATTTTTATTGAGGGAGATGTTCGTATCGTCGCTGTCGTTTCTTGCATCGTCGTCTCCACGCTTGGCCAGTAATGATAATGCTTTCAATCAATAGATGATACTCTTCTCTCCAACACTATCTCACATAAATAATGTGTCACCTAGCCTATTGTTCACTGACGTCGCTCTGTTGCACCGTCGTTAGCTTGCCCGTCCCGTCCCGTGTCCCGCCAGTCGTCGTCACCCTCTTCTTTTTGCTTTTTGCTTCTGTCTCAGGTGCACTCTTGTCGCAGGTACACCCGCCGTCTAGCTCGATACCGATACCATGTGCAAGCGTGCAGCTGGACAAATCATGGTTCAATGGACGCACGTGCTAGCTTAGCCCCTTGCACTGCCACTGCGGCACACGTGTCTGTTTTGCTTTTTACAGATCGGTCCCAGAGAAGAGACAGATACTATGCAGCAATGAACCCGTTGTTTACGGCTCATGTCGTCATTTGTCAGACGAGCAAGGTGGTGGTACGATACCTGGTGCTGACTGGGGTTGTTTTCCATCAGGGATTTAGAAAGAGCGTTTTTGGCTAAAAGACTTGTGGAACGGATGAGTCGGTAGATGGGAGGGGAATTAGTGATGCAAAAAGGCTTGTTTAGTGCATCATGTCATGTCTAGCTTCCGGTATGTACTTGGTAAATACTTGATGAAATTCCTTGGCAGGGCATGTCAAAGAATGCCGCTCATAACTAACGGACTCTGCTCGCCTCGCAATGTGTACAGAAGGATGCCATGTGATGACCGGAACCAGAAAACCTATAAACATGTATGAAAGAGAGTATACCTCTCGACACCTCATGAAGATGAGGCTGACCCATCAACGTGTTGCTCCTCAGCCCTCTCCTTGCCCTTTGAACTGCTGCTTGGAGTAACCTCACTGTCCATCTCAACCCTGGCTTCACTAGCTTTCTCATCGGTCTGCTGTTGCTGCTGTGCCCTGGCGTCTTCTTCTCGCTTCCTCGCTTCCTCCTCCTGTCTCTCTCTCTCTTCCCGTGCTGCTACCCTCTCCAGTCTCTCTCTCTCTTCCTGTGCGTGAACCATTCTCTCGCCTACACCAGGGAATAGACTGGCAATGAAGAGAGTGAAAGCGCGCTCGACTCCACGCAAGCTCTCGCGTAACCAGGCGAACCTTTGTTCTTGTCTTTGTTGTAGTATTCGCCTTGCTGCTTCCTCGGGCGATATGTTACCTCGTGGGCGCTGGTTGATGGGTTGTGCAGCGCGTTCGGCCATAGCGCCAACAGGAAGAAGAGCCTCAAAATGGCGACGCACGTAGTTGATCTGATCCTCAAACATGCCGATCTGTGCCAGATAGACAATCCCAGCAATAGCACCTAGCATTACAGGCCTGTAAATACCACCACCTCCAGCGAAGACGTAGACGAAGACAGCGAGCTTGAAGATCAGCCACAAATGTCCGGCGATATTGGCCATCCGATCATTTTCTTCTGGCTGCACTCCATTCTGATTATCATTCTGGTTCTGGTTTTGATTCTGATTCTGATTCTGATTCTGATCATATCCTCGGTTATGATCTTGAGCCTGTCCAACAGCTACTGGCTGCCCTATTGGTGTTGGCTGCATGTTAGCTACTTGATTATGCAGCTGGTTTGTCCCCTGTGCCATTTGCTGCCCAAGACCAGCAATGAGCTGTCTGTTCTGTGCAAATTGACTCGAGAAGCTCTGGAATGGTAGAGTGGGCACCATTGGGGCTGTGGTGTATGTGCCTCGCTGATCGAAGAGAACTCCTACCGGACCCTGGGGACTTGACAAAAGGAACAGCTCTGCAGGTGCATCTGTCGGTACAGTCTGTGTCACATCTCCTGGTCGGGTCTGGGATGTAGTTGATGATGCCGCAGCTATGGTGGGCACCCCTGGTGCTGTATCCGAAGTAGCCCTGGCCGTTTCGCCCTGTTGACGATCGAGCACAATACTCAATTCCGCAGCATCAACCCTCAACTCGGTAGCTGAGCGCCTGAGCGCCGTCACTTCAGGCTCTGTAGGAAGCAACGCCAGAGCCCGGTCAACGACATCCAGATTTTGATTGACTGTGTTCAGGTGCTGACGTAGTCGCTCGATTCGCCATACAGGGATATTCAACGAGGCAGGTATATCTGAGGTGAGGAGCCCTCCACTCTGTGCATCAGATGCACCAGGCAGTTGCAACAATGCTCGAATGTTATCAATCTCCCGTTTTGTCTCCAAGAAGATCCTGTGCACACGAGGCAATAACCGCTGGTTGTCGCTAGAAAGCGGCGGACGACCGAAAGCTAGTGCATGCGGGACAGGGAATGTGACGACAGGCGGCGGGAGTCGCGCAGCTATGTTAAGTGGATTGAAGGCCGTAACTGTCCATCGTGCTCCATTAGGCGCAACACCTTCTCGCCTGATCGCCTGGTCGCCATTTCCAGGAGGGTTCGACGGTCCTGAAGGGATTGGTGTATGCGTCCTATCCCCCGCTGCCGGTGTACCTTGATCTGGCTGCTCGCTAGTTCGATCTGAGGGCTGTTCATCACCCTGTTGTCCTTGGTGTGCCATTGCTTGAGCAAACGTTTGATGGAGTTGTGCGGGTAATGGTATGGGAATGGGGTTCACTTGTCCCGGAAGGCGATGAGGCGGAAGGTGCGACTGGGGTATTTGAGGTTGTGAAGCCGGTCGTGTCTGTGGTATAGCCCGAAATGGATTCGTCTGCAGAGGGCTCGCGGCTGGGCCATCTGGACCAGCAGAGCGGAAGAGGTTTGGTGGGACAGAAGACGATTGCGGGACAGGCGAAGATGCAGTTGGAGGCAGCTCTCGTATGACGAGGTGAAGGCTTTGGTTCTTGTTCTCACGTATCTATGGTTCTGGTTAGCAAGCGCCCATTTGGCCATAGTAGCAACATACATTGTCAGCGCCAAACACGGTAGTCAGAGTGTCTGCATCATTCGCTACCACTCGGCCTCTGTATATGAGGCGCATGCGCTCGGGGGCAGGCTTGGAGGGCACAGCATCGTGTATGCGACTGCGGAGCTCTTTGACCGTGATAGAAGCGGGTAGGCCCGCGAGGGTGATGCCGCCCTCTAGTTCCGCTGAAGGCGAAAGGACCTTGAGGTTGATTGTCTGCTCTGCGTCCGCCATGCCTTCCATGTGCAGCAGCGACTATGGTGAGAGCGATAGAAGGTTCTCGGTTTGGGAGTGGGCGACGTGTTTGTATACGTTGCGTTTTAGAGTAAAGCTCCGGATTCGCCGTCAACTACAACGTCGATTGCCATGTGCAGTGAAGAGGAGTTTATCAGGCTGACCTTCCGAAGCCCTGGATATTACATATGCGACTTTCCGCCGCCTACCCTTGTATATTCAAGGTGTCTTGACGACATGCACATGTGATGCGACAGTAAGTGTTGGATGCTCGTGGAAACACCTCCGAGCCCACGGCCGCAATGGCGCTAATCCCTCCCCAGTGGGTACGTCATGGGTTAGCCGCTCATGTGGATTTTCCCACACCACCCAACGCCTTCGCCGTCATCTTCCCGCTTTGCCATTGCGAATCTCCTCATCTTGATGTGGCCGAGAAAACAACGGTAGAAATCGCAAATGCATGCATCATAACATGGCGACTCCCTGTTCGCGCCAGCTCATTCGAGCTTCTATCCGACCGCGATGCAATATACCCACACACCCACATGCGCGCCTCTCTGCCCCATCTCGCACCTTCACGTCGACTCGAGCGTCATATAGCGAACAAAATTTTCACAGGAAGGAGTCTTTTAGGTCGCGGCTCAATTCCGCACTCAAGAATACCAAAGTCAAATGGGAGCCAATACCAATTGCACTCGGTATTGGCTTCCTGGGTGCATTTCAGCTATATCGCATACAACGCAGAGAAAAGCATACAGAAGCCGAGAGAAGGGATGCGGATGGCAATGTAGTGGATCAGCAAGGTCGTCCGAAGAAGCGCGAAAGAATAAGACCGAGCGGACCATGGACCGTTCAGGTCATGTCTACCCTTCCTCTCAAGGCGTTGTCGCGACTGTGGGGTCGCTTCAATGAGATCGACATACCCTACTACCTTCGTGTGCCTGGATTCAAGCTGTATTCTTGGATATTTGGTGTCAAGCAAGTCGCCCCATAATCATCATCGTCCCTGTATCTAACTTTTCCTAGTCTCTCCGAAGTCTCGGAACCAGATCTACATGTATACCCCAACCTCGCCGCCTTTTTCTACCGCACCCTCAAACCCGGTGTACGTCCTCTAGATCCCAACCCCAACGCAGTACTCTCTCCCGCAGACGGCAAGATCATTCAATTTGGCACCATCGAGCACGGCGAAGTTGAGCAAGTCAAAGGTGTAACATATAGTTTGGACGCTCTGCTAGGATCTACAAGGCCCAGTACACCAGAGCAAAATGTAGCAAATTCCCAAATTCGCGCTAGTGAGCACGAGAAGACACCACAAGACGAAGAGGACACTGTGCGCGCGGATGAGGAATTTGCAAACGTGAACGGTATCTCATATACTCTACCAAACCTCTTCTCCGGACCATGGCCAAAAGACGGGAAGCCTGCTGAAATGCCGACGGATCAATCAGTTCCGTCAAAGCCATCGTCAGAAGCCGAAGTACGTGCCGACCTTGCCTTGAGTGAATCACAGCGCCCATGGTGGGCACCCGCCTCATTAAAGACACCTACGGTTCTCTACTACTGCGTTGTATATCTTGCGCCAGGCGACTACCACAGGTTCCACTCACCTGTATCATGGGTTGTTGAGTCGCGTCGTCACTTTGCTGGCGAGCTTTATAGTGTATCGCCCTACCTACAACGCACTATGCCTGGTCTCTTTACCCTGAACGAGCGTGTGGTTCTCCTAGGAAGATGGCGCTGGGGTTTCTTTTCCTACACTCCGGTCGGCGCAACCAACGTTGGTTCCATTAAGATCAACTTTGATCGCGAACTTCGCACAAACAGCTTAACAACCGACACTGCGGCGGACCGTGCTGCGGAAGAAGCCGCTGCCCGTGGTGAGCCGTATTCTGGATTCGCTGAGGCCTCCTACACGAGCGCAAGCCGTGTCTTGGGAGGGTACGCACTCAAGCGCGGCGAGGAAATGGGTGGTTTTCAGTTGGGCAGTACAATTGTCTTAGTCTTTGAAGCGCCGAAGGGCATTCGACCTAGTTTGGACGAGGGCTTTAGTGGTACACGTGGCGAGAGAAAAGGTGGGTTTCACTGGAATATCGAACAAGGGCAAAAAGTCAAGGTTGGCGAGGCGTTGGGTTATGTTGAAGAAGTTCAGTAATATGTACATCAACCTCTTGATTTACGAAGTCATGCTTCTTCCACACAGGAAATGATACCACGTTTGGCATTGGACCCTTTCGTTCTTGATCTTGACGATTTAGTGAGAGTGTAAGGCTGATTAGGAAGCGCTGCGCGATGTCACATTGTTGCGGCGTTCCTTGCCCAGCGCCGCAATGCTGCATATGTTGGTTTTTTGGAGGCAACAATCTGAAGGAAGCGTGCATAACCGCTCTGACATACACATGCATTCCTTTTGAAACACCCGCAAGCACCTTTTTTTAGTCATTGAAAATCACCAATGCAATCGTGAAGCCCAGATACAATCCAGTAGTCAGAGTGACGAATTAGGGTGAGCAAGTATCTGATATCAAATCCAGCACTGAAGGCTACGTAAGAAGACGACTGAGTAATATCGCAGATGCCTAGCAAATGGAGTAAAGCTAGCACACGTCCGGTGGCCGAAAATAGAGTAGACTGGGCCTAACTGTGGAGCAGCAGGGGGAAACCTGAGCCAGCAAAATGTCATGGAGGGCGTAAAATTGAGGTAAAGATCCGATTGGCGCTGTGCTTACCATACTTGCAACATACACAGCGCGCGACACATGATGTTGCGGCAAGTGGTAAGAGTAAGGTATGGTCAAATAAGCCCCCCGCCTTGCGACGTCAAGCTTTCGAGACGCTTTTTGCTTACCTTGTGCAGAATACAGCAGCGGTGCTTTTTAGTTGACTCAGGCTGGCGGCCTGATCGTGGACGCCTGTTATACTAAGGGCCGGTTTGTTGCCTGCGCAGCGTTAGGAGCAGTCGGGCGTCGAGCTGATCCTGCGCGTCAAAGGGCCGGCATAGGCCAAGATACGTGAGATGGAATTTTGGAAAGTCGTGTTTAGGTAATGTGATACTTTTTTTGACTGTAAGACACTGTGGGTTTGATCAGATTTGGTGGTGATGGATATGGGCAAAGCTGAGGAGGACTGCTTACCTCTCTCGTGGAGACGTAGCACGTGTATGCTCTGCGCCTTCGGTAACTAGACAGCAGGCTGAGGAATGGAGCGCAAGGCTGGGTGTCTCTTCGAGGCAGAATCTCCAGTGGGTCATACTTATCTACGTACATGAACTGTTCCCCCACTTGGCGTGCTTGTCGTGCGTTGCATCCGCCATGACAAATGATAATACAGCGTTCAACTAGTACACTTTGACAGCGACTAGACGGCATAGCACAGTAACATGCCTGTGGTAGACTACCAAAGCAGCATCGCGGGACGCCAGCACTGCCACCGCCGCCATATCAGCATCTCCTTGTGCAGTTAGCTGCACCGGGATTGGGACTCGCGCCTGCATCTGGTTTCATTTGCTCATCAGCCCTGCACGTGCGGGCAGGGCTGGGGCTGATGGCGGAAGACGCGCATCTACTATGTAGCCCATCCCATCCTTTTCAAGACAGCTGTCCAACCGCGCGCAATGCTGTCTCGTTCGGGTGCAATCATCGCCTAGGTTAACCGTTGCTCAGGCTTGGTTTATTATTAGCTGGGCGCATCACCCTCCGCCCCGCCATCATCAACATACTTCGCGGCGGAACTGGGAGCTGTCATCATTGCAATGCCTAACTTTCCATGGACAAAGTCGAACCGGTCGCACCACTCTGTCGATAACACCGTAGTAAGGGACCAACCTTCGCCCGTGCCATCTGCAAAGGAAGCCAGCGACCAAGCCGCAGCAGCCCAGCGATACCAGGCCTCCGACGCCCATCAACCGCCCGTCCATAGCCAGCAGTCTTCTCTACAACCACCGGCCTCTTCTGGAAGCACCCAGGGCCAATACAGCGAATACCACTCTCTGCGAAATGCAACTCACAGACTGAGTGCACACCTCTCCTTAGGCCAGCCATCGCAGAACTGCCAGCAACAGCCTAGCCCGCCGCCTACATCTCAGGCAGGCCACGAATCGCCAAACCACGTCCCCTACCAGCCTCACTCTCCTCCTCCTGCATACAGCAGCCCCGAAAACAAGAAGCAGTCGCTGCGCAGTCGCATTGCCGCGGGCGTCAGAGGACACAAGGACGAGGAGACCAAAGCTCAGAAGAACGGCCTAAGCAGGCGACAGTCGGTACGGAAAAGCGACCCTCGGGCGCACGAGTATCACGCACAGGCAGAGAGCCGCCCGCCACATTGGCATCAACACCAGGGGTCCTCTTCCCACTTGCCCACATCGCGAGAGCAAGACGAGGACAACCTTGATCCATTCCTCCAGCAGGAAAGCGACGAGTCCCCTCAAGTGCCTCCCAAAGACACCAAATATCAACAAAACGTGCAACACCCTCAGCCGTTCGCTGCGCAGTTGCACCAGGAACCTTACGTTCGGCCCCCACTTGGCAGGGTGAGCACAGAGGGCAGCTATTCGACCCAAGGCGGGGTAGATCAGTACGGCCCAGAGCAACACCAACAAGGTCAAGGTCCACAGCAGCAGCAACAACAACAACAACAACAACCAACGCAACAACAGCAAGTTCACCGCAAGCAGCCACAGCACAGCTACCAGCCCACTACCCAGAGTTCAACGGGGTCAGGCAACTTTCAGACGTACATTCCACAAAACGCGCCAAGCTCTTTGTCCACTCAGCCGCATGGGCAAGGGGCTCCAGTACAAGACATTCAACAGAACTATTACCAGTACCAGCAGCAGCAGCAGCAACAGCCTCCGCCAGCGCATAATCAATCATCGCTAGAGAATTCCCCGCAAAGCCTGCATCATCAGCAGCCTCACTTTGTATCTCAACTTCAGCCTCAACCAGACCAGCGCCAGCCTCAAACTGCTCTGCCGATCGCGCAACTGCAGACCGAACTGCACCACCCACAGGCCATACGACAACACTATCCTCAGACTGTACAACAGTCAATCGAGCCACAGCAGTCCCAGCAACGCCGACCGCCCTCGTCCCATCAGCTTGCCCCGCCGTCGCCTCTTCAGCCCACGCCCTACCAACACAACGAATCGCAGCAGGGAAAGCACCCTCTATCTTCGGAGCTACATTCACTGAACAACGCATCGCATCAGCAAGGACAGGAGGGTATGACACCAAGTGCTCAAAGTAGCAGCAGAAGCACTGTGAGGAAAGTGAACGAGAGTAGCCAATCACAACCAGGAGCCCCGTCGCAAGAGTCATCTCAGCTCCAGCCCCCGTCCGCTCAAGGCCAGACTTTCGGCCAGCCGCCTGTGTCTCCGGGCCTCGCAACGTTCGACGCCAACGTCGTACCCACAGCCTCCCAAGGACAGCCATATCGAGCTGACAAGCAAGGTCAACAAGGCTCAGAAATGGGGCGGGCGACACCTCCACCGCGCACATCTGCGTCCGAAATGACGGAGGAGGAAATTGAAAAGATGATAAAGGATCATGATGTTTTACGTAAGTACAATATCTCAAGAGAAAGATCATTGAGTTTGACAGGCTGCAGGTGAAAAATATCAAAAGGTCAAAAGATACTTTTTCGAACAACAAACCCAGGTCCACCAACTGCAGAATACCCTTGCAAACCAGCGTTTATCTGTTTCGCGCACATCGTGGGATGACAGTGAATATTCAACCCGCTTCAATCGCTTAGACGGACTAATAGCACAACTGTCCTTTTCCATTCGCAAGGACTGGAAGTCAATACCACAGTGGCTGCACCCAGTAGTCAACAAGACAGCTGTGGAGACGGGCAAGCAGGAAATGACTGCAGTCGGTCGTGCATTCATCTCTCAATGGCTAGTGGAGAACATATTTGATAAATACTTTCATCCGGATCTTGAGCCAGCGTTTTCGACACAACTACAGTCGATTGTGTCGAATATCCGGAAGTTCTCGCCCCCTTGCCATAGTCCAGAAGATGAAGAGTCACTTGCTGCGAAGATTGTCAGCTGGCGGCTTGCTACACTAGAAGGCCTTGCGGATAGTCTGAAAGCACCACAAGCGACTACGTATCGAGAGAAACTGACCGAAACGCTCAACGAAAAACTGATCGCATCTCTCCAGATTCATCTGAATGACCCCGCGCCTCCGGATCTGAATGGAGGTGTTCCAATGATCATTGAGCTTGCTATCAGTATTGCCCAACATTTGCCATTAGAAAGCCGAGAAGTGCAGATTGAGTACTTTCCACCGGGTCATGGCATTGTGAGCGACTTGATGAAGCTGGAATCCGGCATACCCGCCTTAACAGCTCCCATAGTCGAGCTGGATGATGCTGACAGAATTTCCATCAGAAGCATGGCATCGAAGCCAGATGATGGCGTCTCCGTCGCAGAGCAAGATCAAATTCAACCGCAAGTTGGTCAGACTTCAAAAGAGGACAAGAAACGCAGCATGTTTGGTTTCGCCACGTCCAAGAAGGCAGGAGTCACTCCTGCTTCCCTAGGCAAGCGGGAATCTTCTCTTGGTCAAGGAGGTAGCCAGCAGAGTCTGACACAAAACGCACCAGGCAGCTCGACTGGTACGAAAGACGAGTCTGCACCACCCCGCGTACGCTTGGCTGTCGGACTCGCAGTGCAGATTCGCGGCAAAACAGTCTTGACCAAGGCTCCTGTGTACAGCACATGAGCTTTCTTGAGGTTTTTACGATGAAGATGAAGGTTGATGTATGTTTCGAATTTAGTGATTTGGCAAGCAAGCGTTTGGGCATTTTCTTCACCATTTCTTCATATACAAGTTTTTTTTTGCACGGCCATGCTTTCATACTGGATATGCTTTCTCTCGAAGACTGTATTCAGTACGTTTCATGCCTGTCCATATACCTTTTTTGTTGTATTTTGATGTGCATACAAACACCCCCCACTGTTGGTGCGTTTGGGTGTGGTAGAAATCAAGTCTTTGGACCTGCGAAACACAGTGTCCTTGGCTCGGATTACAATGACTCTGAATGCGTCTGTTGAACCAGATGAGCTATTTTAACCACGAGGCCTGTACATATGAGCGAGCAAGCCCGGAGGCCATGCGGACAGCGTTCACGCTAGTTGCGGCCAATTCGAACGCTCATTGGCTGAACGCCCGTCGCTCCCTTTTGTTTACCGGACACAAACATCCCCATGACAAAGCCACTTGAGACGACCGTCAGTGTCCAGCGCAATGGAGAACATGGAGATATCCCAGCAAATCAAATGTGCGTCTAATAAACAGACTATCCTACACAGCAGTTACTGATTCGCACCAGCCACGACATTGTCTGTTCCCTCGCCGACCGCGACACATACTGCCTGTGTCAACGGTGCACGTTTGCAAATCCGATGTCTCAATACTTTCGAGGTGGTCCGTACTATCGCCCTCCCATCCACCCATGATTTGCGCTCGTCGAAGATTACCTGGTCACCCCTGGTCATTCCGCCCTTGACCTCATCAACACGCACATCTTCGCCCACCACTACACCTCCCCGTCGATCATCACGGACACCACGTCCCTGCTCGAATCGCGTCCTCATATCCGACGACGACACCGCGCGCGTTTACGATCTCCGCGATGAGAAATGGAATGCCGTGATTAGCAATGGCTCTGGTGGCATGGGGAAGAATGTTCACGTCGAGTTTGGAGGAACAGAGGACGAGGTGCTTGTTTGGACCGACTTTACCGCCTGTGTTAAGATATGGTGCTTGAAGACGGGTCGGGTAGTGGAGATACGCGATCCGAAGTTTCCTGGTAAAGATGGCAAGGGGTGGGGTTACCGACCTGCTGACGATACTGGATTGAGGAATGGAAGGGGACAAGGGCGTGTTCTGGCATTATTGTGTCGTGCATCAGGGACCGATATCTTGTTGCTTCTTGCACCGCAGACGTACAAGGTTCTGAATCGAGTCGAACTCCCTACTACAGACGCCGCTGGTCTGAGATGGAGTCGTGACGGGCGCTGGCTGGCCATCTGGGACGCTGCGTCTGCGGGTTACAAGCTTTGCATATATACGGCGGATGGGCATTTGTACCGCACCATAACCCGCGAAGCATCCGAGGACGTCAGCGAATGGGATGTAGAAGGCCTAGGCATCAAGAGTCTAGAATGGGTCCCTGGACATGAACGTCTCGCAGTTGGCGGCTGGGACCGTCGTGTTCGCATCCTTTCTACACGCACATTCGCACCCATCCTGTTCCTCGACCACACACCCGTCATCGACGTACCCAGCGCACCAGTGTACACAGAGCAAGTCGACAACCTGGGCGCCCGTAGTTTCACACTCACACCACAACCCGCCACACCTCCCAAAGCCGCCCTAGAAAAGAACGAAAATGCGCTCCTAAAACAAGGCATCGGCATGCTCAGCTTCAACTCCGAAGGCACAATGTGCGCAAGCAGAGACGACAGCACACCCTGCACAGTCTGGATTTGGGACCTGCGAAGTCTCCGTCCCCGCTCGATCCTCATAATGTACGCTCCTGTGAAAGCACTCCTCTGGCACCCCTGCGACCCCAATCGTCTCGTTATCCAAACTGCGCATGACGAACCAGTCGTGTACTTGTACACGGCTTCACAGCGCTCCCACTCGACGTCATCTTCATCGGCGAATTCATCGGCCACTACGCAACATCCACCGTCCATCCTCTCGTTATCCCCTCACATTGCTAAACCCGCAGTCGCGACTCCCGCACGCTGGACCGTATCCTGGCTCTCGGGCCCTGCAGCTAGTAGTAAAAAACCTTGTTTCGCGCTCGCGCATACTCAAGCTTCCGTTGTCGTTTGGCCGGAGGGCAAAGACCAGATTCTGCGGTTTGATCATGAAGACGAAGAAGAGGGTGAAGAGGAGGGCGAAGAGGAGGGCGAGGAAGCGGGATCAGATGATAGTTTGTATGATATACTGACTGGCCGGACACCGGTACCGGGTACAAGAGATAGCATGGAGGAAGGGGGGTTTGGGGATAGTACAGGCACAGTGCAGGAGCTAGATGATACGTTTCGATCGCGGCGACATGCACATCAAGAACATGGAGGACATGAGGAACACGAGTACTTTGAAGAAGGTGTGTTGGGAGATAGTGGCATGAGTGAAATGTTTTGATTTCCTCCTTTCCTCCCTCCATACAAAAAAGATTTATATATACCCCCTCCCCCGGCCTCCTCACTTTTAACTTTCTTAAAATCAAACAAAAACTCTTCTATTTCTTACCCTCATCCTCAAATCCCCATCGACCCGTCTGATCCAAGCCCAACGGATTATCTCCCGTCTGTTCCTTACCCGCAATCTTCTCGGGCTTGCTGTAGCTATCTACGTTCTTGCCGCCCAGCAGCTCAGAGCGCTCGTCCTCGTGGCCCATCAACGGGCCCAGCGCGCCGCGTGTGGTGCCGCCGAGACCCTCGCCCAGCGGGCCTGTGACGAATTTCTCGAGCGGCGCGCCGACGGGGCGGAGGGCGGTGTTGAGGACGTTGCCTTGGGAGATGGGTTAGGTTGTGGGTTGAGAGATGGAGGAGGAAGGGGGGATAAGGAGACGTACCGACTGGATCTCCGATTGCGCTCAAGAGGCCGCCGGAGCCTTTGCTTTGTTCCTCCTCTTCGTTCTGCGGCGAGGTGGGGATGTGGTCTTGCTGGGGTTGTTCTTCCTTCTTCTCTTGCGCCATTTTCGTGTTTCTTGTTGACTGAGTTGGGTGTTTTTTTTTGAGGTCCCTCTTTTGTTACTTTCGATTTGGCACGAAGTGTTGTGTTACACGATTTCTTTCAAAGACTCTGTCGATGTCTGATGGTTGTCTGGTATTTGGTTTACCAGATACAGATCTGTAAATGTCCGGGTTGTGGTTGGTATGAGTTGGGAAGATAGGAATATTTAATAAGGCACACTCACATGTAGATTTGATGACTTGATGTCTGTTCAGCTCGAATCCAACTGGCCCGCGGCGTGGTTATGTGTTACTGCGCAGATCAAGCTTTGGGGCGGACTGTGACGTCACTGGTGGCTTCATGAGCGTGGGAGCGTCGACGCGTTACAGGATTAGTGGGGTATGGGACGCGACAAGGTATCGACACCATTTCAGTCGTCATGCAGAATCATCACAATGTTCATTTGAGTATCGATATATTCGGTTTGAAAATAGGGGAAATCTACTGTACAGTGTCGGAGCAAGTGTGCATTTGCAGCCCCGAAAAGTTCAAGTTTTGGTCAATCTGATACCAGTGACGGTTCTCATCATCCGTCATACGTAATTCCTTCAAAAGTAAGAGGACATCGAAGAACAAGGATCTCTGACAACCATTGCCCTTGGAATCCTTCATGCGTATGGTTAATACATGCAAAAGCAAAGAATCAATTTCGTAATCCACTGTTGCCAAGCCGGTACAGCAGATGATAGGAGTAGAATGACACAATTCCGTTTGTGCAACTGCTTTTGCCGCATGAGATACGGGGACAGCGAAATAACAACCGTTACATGATCTGAATCCTTAGTCAGTCTCATTCTAACACCTACCTGAATAACTCACCTTTCGTCAAGCAGCATGTTGAGCTGGGTTATCCTGCGACAGTAGGGCGGGTACCTGCATCAATCTCTTCGTTGGTGTGGTGTGCATAGATGGCAACATCTATAACAGTGTTGTTCTTATATCCCACTTTGGGGAGCCGACCGACACGATGAAACTTGCATGCGTGGAGAAACTGGCCCTGCCATCCGGTCTCTGCATGCTCTCCATTCTCGTGGTGGACGTTGAGTAGAATCGTTTTGATAACCCTTGATGGCCCGGTCTTGAGGTACTCGAAGTTGTTGACGTACTGATACCCGCCGCGAGCGCGGTAGCTTGTGTCCGCCATCTCTAGGAGACGATCCACGAGACACTTGCCAATACCTTTGCTCGTATAGCCTGGGTGGACGAACAACTCCATCTCAAAAGTGTAGCGGAACGAGGATGCCTGGCTGCAGTAATCATCCAAGCTGATGAAGCCTACAATCTTTTCGGTAACATAACCGGGATTGGTCCTGGACTCGTTGCTCTTTGAGACTGCGACCAAGTATGGAAGGCCTGCACTGGTGACAGTGTTGATTCGCTGGCGGATTTGATCTTCAGTGCGCCCATCAAACTCGGTTGCGTAAATGGTATGCTCAACGTAGTAGTTGTAAATCGCCTGTCAATATTGTTAGTTTGAAAACTTTGCATCCTTGTCTATGGGTTTTCCAAGTCAATCAAGAACTATGTAAGTTCAGACTTACTCCAATGCCAACAACATCTGCTGGCTGAACAGGACGAATGTACATGTTGGTCTTAGGGCGTAGGCGACGATCTTCCATGGCTTGCATTGGAAACATCGAATTCGCGACTGGGCGATTCCGTTTGGCCAACAAGCGACGTTCCTTAGCTTCCCTACGTTGTTGTAGATCTTGAAGCTTTTCTGCAGCCGAAGCCAGCATCAGATGAGTGGTAGGATGCTCTGCATCGGTAGGGTCGATTCTTGCCTCCGGCGCTGGTAGGCTGTTCAGGTAACAGCTCCTATGCTTGAAATGCTGTTCACCCTGACCTTCCTCGTGAATCACCTCAGAATAGACCACATCCTCGTACAATTCCCACCAAGGTGGATGGATAGTAATGTCCGTATCATCCAGCGGCTTTGGGTCCGAAGTAGAGATTGTCTTCCAAGATTCTCTCAAGTTACTGCCCTCAACCTTCGCCTCAAGCCAGTAACGAGGTGCCAGCTCTTTGCAAGGTCCATCTTCGGGACTGAAAGTACTGAGTGGGTAGTATACGGATCTGGTGCACTCTTGTGAGTGTCCATTCATCCATTGTTCTACATGTGCACCAAGGTGACGGTCTTCATGTCCTCTTCGAGCGGACCATGATTCCGGAGCAGGTAGCCAATCGCCGTTCCAGTCTAGCAGTTTCCTGACATCGTAGTCAGGGTCTCCGTTGCTGTCAGACCAGCAGTTGACACCACCACCATCGCTCTCGCTTTTGCCAGGAATATATTTCATGTCCCTTTGTTTTGGCCAAGGCTTCCTCTTGTACGGCTGAGTGCCACGATTCCAACGCGGTTTAGCAGTCTTCTGATGAGCATGCAGATTGTTGATTTCAGTTTCATTCCAGCCGCCCCAGACGTTTTCGGGGGTAGCCATGTCTTTATGTTCATGCTCTACAGGCTCATGTGGTGTGGTTGCTGGTGAAGGTGGTGTTGCCTCGCGCATGTTGTTTTGGTTTCTTGGATCATGTCAGAATGGTGAAGATACAAAAAAGAGCAGTCTGAACCTGTAATGTCAAGAAGAACTTACTGAACTGACTCGGGCTTGGTAGCAACTGTGGACTTGGAATTTTTCGAAGAAGAAGGTGAGCCATTGGTGGCAGCATTTTTATACCCTGGATCTATCGTCGCTTTATTGGCAGAAGGGCGGCTGCGCAGGTGTGGCGGAATAGAGGCCTTGTTGGCAGGGGGACAGCTGCGCAGGTGTGGAGGAACATAGGCTTCTTTTCGTAGCGTAGTCATGTTTACCTCTTTTTTACCTCTCTTCTTGTTGCGCGTATGTTTTTTCTGCAAGGGGACTGGAGGGTCGGATGCGTTTTTGGTCTTGTCTTGACTGGGCAACGATGTCACGGCAAGTGCAGCTGGACAGACGTGGTTAGGAGGTGGTAAGGTAGTTGGCTGCTGCGCACGATGTTTGCGTCTGGAGTCAGGCTGGGATGGTGACTCGGTTTGCTGTAACGGCGCGCTGTTTTGCGTTTCTTTTGCTACTGCATCCGCTTTCTTATTAATTTTGTGATGTGGTGGTTTCTTGGCAGGTCGACGGAAGTGATGTTTGAGTGGCCTCTGTTTCGTCGTTTGGGTTGTTAGCATACAAGCGCAGGATATGTTAAAATGGGGGATGATGGGGTAGGTAGTGAGTAATAGAAAACTATGATGAGGTGTTGTTGAGAGCGGGGAATGGTGAGGGTGCTAGAAAAGTCTACTGTGGCTTTCACCACGGTTGGTGTATGATTACGAAAGGATAGTGAGACATGATGCGGTCATAAGGCTTACTTCACTTACTGTGGCCTGCACGAAGTCTGCCTGTTGCTGCCAAGTCATATCTCTGTTTTTCTGTTGCTTCGACATATTGGTGTGGGTATCGAAAGATGGCAATCTTGTCAGTTCAAGCTCCGGTGGCTGTGAGAGTGAAGTGCAAAGACACGAGTCCTCCATGGCTGTGTTCCTGATACAGACCTTCTTCGATTTTGTAGAAGGAACGGATATCAGGAGCGTTCTAAGTAAAGCAAGAGGGATCGGCGAAAAGCAGAAGGTGGAGAGGTGGAATGGCAGATGATGCAGCCTTCTATACACTTGGACGGAGCTGCCTAAAGCATACAGTGAATGCTTGTTCACTTCACTTTACTTCACTTTACCTCGACTTCTTTCTATAGAGTGGGCGTATTTGTTGGTAAGGCGCTCATGTCCAACGAGTCTTCACATACTAAGCAATCGTGCTGTTTGTAGGAAAGAGCATACGGGCAAGCAATACAGCTGTCGCCATGATGTCTCAATAAAATAAAGGAGGAACTACACCTCCCAACTGGTTCGAGTCATCAACGCAGTGTCGATCATCTGACAAGGAAAGACGTTGTCTCCAAAGAAGCGTAGCGAGTTGGCGTTGAATGCAGGCGTCCGCAAACGGCTTAGCTCCAAGGTGGCTCTGGGAAGCCCATTATCACTGTCTTGCTTCTGCCTAGTAGGACCATTTTCTCAGATTTTGAGCAGCGCAAGATGCTTTCGATATTACGAAAAGCTCGCTTAAAGGACAAGGAGATGCGCATCCTGATGCTGTGCGTGTTTGCAGAAGAATGGTTGTGGCAAGGACTGACAGCACTAGGGGTCTGGACAATGCGGGAAAGACGACTATTGTGAAGAAGATCATGAATGAGGATGTCAATAGCGTCAGCCCGACGCTCGGTTTTATCATCAAAACAATTGAGTACGACGGGTACGTAGGGCGAGCTGAGTGCACGAGCCTGGGCTAATGAAGTAGTTACAAATTAAACATATGTACTTTGACCTGCTTGCTCGGACACGAGTGCATGCTGACAGAATAGGGGACGTCGGCGGGCAAAAGACGCTACGGACATACTGGAAGAACTACTTTGAAAAGACGGACACGCTCATCTGGGTAGTCGATGCAACGGACAGTGAGCGGATAGATGACTGCAGGCAAGAATTGGCAGGGCTACTGCTCGAGGAGGTTTGTCTAGCCCAAGTACTCATGGCACGGCAAGACAGCATCTGACCAAAGAAGCGCCTCTCCGGAGCCAGTCTGCTGGTGTTCAAGAACAAAAGCGACGTCGCCGGGTCCATGAGCGAGGACGAGATCCGCGAGGTGCGTTGGGCTTGGGGCTGAGGAAACTGTTGAGTGTGGTTGGCAGGCCAATGGTACTAACTGCGCACAGGGTCTGCAGCTGGATGCCATCAAGACACACAAGTGGCACATCATGGCGTGCAGTGCCATGACGGGAATGAACCTGCGCGAGGGGCTCGAGTGGGTGGTCCAGGACGCCAAAGCCCGCCTGTTCCTGTATTGAGGCATCGTGGGTTGGAGCGAGGGTCGTATTACGCGTCAGGCACACAGGCACAGACTGGATGCGGCATCGGACTCGGACGGGCAAGGGGCAGCACAGCGCAGCGCAGCCCCAAGGGTAGATGCGGGTATTTGGTGCAGCGGTATTGGTCTGGACAAGGTCCAACCGCTGCACGGTGGAGCGGGCGACGCAGCCTCGACGTTGATATGTACGTAGCATAAACAAACACGCTCCAAGGTCGTTTCGAGGACCTGCATCTGTCGCTTTCTTTTGTCTTGGTTCGTTTGACTGTGCGGCCTGGCCTCCGTCCCCCCACTCTCCTTCTCTTTCCCTCCTTTCAGCCCTGCGCATCCGCCCTCTCGGCCAAGGATGAGGTAGCCGAGTCAAAGTAATTTAACGACCGTTCTACTAGTCTCAGGCCCGTCTTCGTACGTCTGGGATCCCACCCACTGCCGAGCAGCCTCAACCCTTGCACCCACCTGTCGGATCGCTACCGCCCACCATGTCGTCGGACGACAAAGACGTCGACCCATCCGAGTTTGTAGAGCGGATCCGGCGCTTGGGCGACCAGCGAGATCAAGAGGACGCCGAGCGCGTCAAGAAATTGGAAGAGGAGCTTATCCAGGGCCGCAGCGAGAGACTAGCGCGACGAGCAGGTTTGTTTTTTTCTATTCCGTGGTGACTGCACTCGGCCGGGGTTGGCAGCTGCTGATGCCTTTGTCAAACAGAACGAGCCCGCTCAATTTCCCCCGACAAGCCATACACTCCCCAGTCGCCCCGTTCCGTCGTTGGCACTCCCAAGGCCATACAGGAGAAGGCTGCCACGACACCCACTCCCACCATGAGCCCGCCAGCACGCGATGCCGCCCGCGATGATTCGCTGCACCAGCTCACCAGCTCCCCGCCCCCGCGGCCCACGTCAACATCGACAACCATGACCCTCGAAGACATGGAGCCCAAGAAGCCCGCCACCAACGCTGCCGCCCTGGGAAGGTCAGGCACCTTGTCGTGGAAGCAGCGCCCACAGTCGGGGAGCATACGGCGCCCGCTCTCAGTGGCATCGCGGTCTCCCGAGCGCCCGTCTTCCAGCAACACCCCCGAACCTTCCGAGCCCGAACCTGAGCCCAGCATGTCAAGAAGCTCCATTGCAGCCTCGCTAGGCGCAAAGGATCCTGCTTTCTTTCGTCAAACAGCCGATATTGGAAGGGGATCGGCAGCCTTCAGGAAGAACCAAGATGACACTGCTTCAGAAACGGGGTCAGTATCAGGTCGGAGGCAGTTGGCGGGCATGTCGCGCGACTCGACCGTGGAGCAAGACATTGGCAGCCCACCTGCAGAGAGCGCACGCTCGAGCTCACCGGGCTCACGAGGGGGTTCCGTTCGCGGCAGCACCGTACTGAGTAATCGTTTTTCCACCAGCACATCGATTTCAGGCGGCGATTCGGATTCGGTAGTAAAAGGCAAAACGCCTCTGCCTGTGTTGGATTCGCAAAAGTTCGCCCCACCCTCTGAGCAGGGCTCTTCAGTTGATGGTGGAGACACTGAGCGTGCAGCCCGCGCGCTCGCCATGTCACCTACTCAAGGGAGAATTTCGCCAGAGCGTGAGCGCTCGACATCACCAACAAAGGGCATGGGTGGCTTTGTACAGAGCGCCATGCTCAAACGTAGTGATAGCGTGAGCAAGCGTTGGAGCACGCAAACACCCCCCGGCTTGAGCAGGCAAAACTCTACCTTGAGCAATCGCGGAAGTGTCTATGGCTCACTCTCAAACATTGACCGGCCAGTTTTGTCTAGGGACAACTCCATAGAGCCAACCCGCCCTACATCGAGTCGCAGCAATGCAACCATCACCGGCGCAGAAAAGGACAGCGCACCCAAGGAGGAGTTTGTCAAGCCATCATTGCCCCGTCACAGCAGAGCCAAATCAGTCGCATCAACCTTCAGCGCGACTTTCAGCGACAAGGATGCCTCGCAGGACGAATCCTCTCCTGCGAGTCCCTCAAAGCGATGGAGTCCTACAAAATCAAGTTGGTTGGAGAGTGCGCTGAGTAGACCAGAATCCCCAAAGCCAAAGCAAGCCCCTCCCGCTCAGCCTGCGTGGATGGCTGAGATCAACCGCATCAAACAGCAGCGAAGTAGTGTTGACCTGGGCAGAGGCAGTCCTTTTGGTGAATCTTCCGGCTCTGGCCGGACATCACCAATCAAGGACATAGTGCAACTTAAACCCGTTGGTCTGCGTCGGTCCGAGTCTCCTAAGAAAGAGGATTCAAGTTTGTCCAATAAAATGGAAACACTCAAAGAGCAATCTCCGAGCCCTGCGTCGGCGGCAGTACCGAAGCCTCTTTTCGCCAAAAAGGAAGAGCCCAAACCTTCAGAAGAAGCACAACCTTTGGAAGAGCCAGCAACCCCAAAAGACTCTAAAGACATCTTGGAAAAAAATCTCGATGACCCACCCACATCTGCTGTCCCATCAGCGACCGAAGAACCTGCCCCAGTGGACGCCAAGCCCGTAGCTTCCAGGTTCGCCGCAGATACTGGCCGCAGTATTTCACCTGCAAAAACAGATACAACGCCAAAGACAGATTTCCGTGCGGGGCTCAAGTCACGTCAGCCTGTATCTGATAGCTCGAAGAAGGACGAAGTCAACGAATTCCAAAATGTCTTTGGTAGGTTAAGAAAAGCAGAGACAAAGAATTACGTAGCCCCCGATATCCTCAAAGAAAACATCACAAGAGGCAAAGGTGCACTAAACGTAACCGGAGGTCCTAAACCTTCGGTCCGAAAGGATGAATTCAGGGAGAGCCTCATCAAGAGGAAATCAACCATCTTTGATAAAGCTCAAGAAGAGGGCTCTGTGCTGAAGAAGTCGGAGAGCTCAAGACCTTCTGCTCCTGTCCCGGAGGCTATCGCCAAGCAGAAAGGATTGCAACGTAGAGATAGTGAAGCCAGAGCTCCGGCACCACCTAAAGAGAAGGAGCCTATGCCGGAAGCTCTCGCCAGAAGGAAGAGTCTTGGAGTGGTTCGGCCTATGCCTGATAACAAGTCTGCTCAGTCTGCGCAGCCTGCGCCTTTGTTTGCCAAGAAAGAGCCAGCCATGTCTGGCAAGCTTGCGAATCGTTTCAACCCTGCGTTAGCCGGTATGCTCGCTCGAGGCCCGCCTTCTCAAGCAACCGACAAATCTACATCAAGTGCTGAGGTAGATGGGTCAGCTGCCAGGCCGGCACAAGAGAGAAACACCGGACCTGCACCAGAACTGCAACATATGACCAAAGGTCGCGCCCGTGGGCCTAAGCGAAGGGCACCGGCCTCGAAAAAGGCGGCTGTTGAGTCGGAACAGGCTCAAGAGGAAGTGCCTACTGCTGCTGCTCTGCCTTTGGTGAATTCCGAGCCTGTCCTCTCTAGCTCTGAGCCTCCTAAGACTAACGGAAAACCAGAGCAGCAACCAGTAGCGAGGACGCCTGCCAGGCAGTCGGCGACCGAAAAGCCTGTTCCACCAGCCAAATCGCCACGAGTATCTTCTGGAAACTTTGGAAAATCCCCTACCCCTGAGCTCCCAAAGAAGCCAGAGAGGATCTCCGGATCTCAAACGACGCCCAAAGCCTCGCCTAGACCAGAATCTATCATCTCATCTAAGCCCTCGTCACCAGTCATTCCAAAGAAACCTGCATCTCTGGAAGCGGAGAGGCGGGTGTCTGGGTCACAAAACACGCCAACACAAAAGTCCCCATTACAAACCCAAGTTGAATCACCAAAGTTGGCGTCATCCTCGCCATCTCCTCATTCTCGATTTTCTCGACCGTTGCCCACATTACCCCCCAAGTCAGCAACAGAGAGTCCCAAGTCGACACTACTCAAGAATATCTCAACCCCCAATGTTGAGATCTCACACGCTAAGGATGACTCGTCGCCTGAGAGGACAACGTTTTCATCAGTCAAGAGTGCTAGCGCTTTGTGGGGCAGATCGTCTGCATCTTCATCATCTGTGCCAACGGGAGCTAAGTCACCAATTAAACTTCCCACACAAGCAGATGAGCAAGCTGCAATGAAGGATGCTGGTCTAATTCGCTCTGAGGTGAATTCAAAGGCTCTGCCCGGCCTCCCTCAAGCTGACCCTCAATCTCCTGATGAAGGGAAGGCACTACCTCCAAAGCCAAAACCTGTGGGGCTGGGCTTTAGCCTGGGAAGCTTAGGTGGGCTGGTCGCATCTCGGTCACGAGAATCATTATCTCAGCTACCTAAGGGCACACCCATGTCACCACCAGGAAGTGCAAACAGGCCATTGTCTGAGCCTTCCGTCACGTCACCAACCCCAAAGAAGAATGATGGCATGTTTGCAGACTTCTTTGACGAAGACCCTGTGACAGAAGGCCAGCTACCAGAGCACATTGACACAATGCACATTCTTAAGTCGCCACCATTTGACTTGGGCCCCACAGGAAAGATCCGCACTGTACGCAAGCAAATCGACGAAGTGACAAGCGATGGAAAGCTTTTGTCTATTCCAGTGCAGGAGGAGCATATCTTATTCCAAGACTCAATGTATTTGTGTACACATGTGTACGAAGATTTCAAGGGAACCAGAAACACCGACGTCTACCTATGGGCTGGCAATGGTGTACCAGAGCCTACAGTAGAAGATGTGCAGATATTTGCAAAGAGCCACGCACGTCAAAGCCAAGGACGGTTGTTGGTCATTCGGCAAGGACAAGAGACACCAAACTTTTTCGAAGCTCTAGGCGGCATTGTCATCACCAGGCGTGGCATGAAGCCCGGATCAAAAGAGTTTATGCTATGTGGTCGTCGTCATATTGGGCACCTTGCATTTGACGAAGTCGACTTCTCACTCAAGAGTCTCTGCTCGGCATTTCCTTACCTGATTTCCACCTCCGCAGGTAAAGTCTATCTGTGGAAGGGCCGTGGATGCTCCGCTGAAGAGCTGTCTGGGGCACGTCTGATGGGTATGGACCTGGCACCTACTGGCGATTACAACGAAATCGACGAGGGAGCCGAACCCCATGATTTTCTCAACAAAACCTTTCCACCCTCGCCAGTGCCTTCGAAAGGCCCTGCCATCCCTCGCTCTGCAGACCATTGGCGCTACAAAGCCACGTGCGACAAATATCGGGCGCGTCTCTACAAGATCGAACAAACGACCAGCCAACAGGCAGGCTGGGGCCAAGCACTCCAGGTGAGCAGCTCCTTTTTCGCGCCGCTGCTACGAAGACCGTCTTGGAACGCTGCTGAACAAAGGCCACAGACGCCACTCACGCCCAAGTCACCTCAGGGTACTATCAAGACGGAGATCAAAGAGATCATGCCTTTCTCGCAGAGAGACCTGGAGCCGGAAAACATCTATGTACTTGATGCCTTCTTTGAGATGTACATGTAAGTCGCCCTGTTTTTGCCTGTCAGCCGTGAGACGGATATCATGTATGCCGATGGATATTAACATGTAGCAGTATTGTTGGCCCCTTGTCGCGCACCCAAGCAGCTGCATTCTCCACTGCTCTCATGTTTGCGCAAGCATATGGTATGCTCGCTGTGTCAGAAGAAGACCGGCCATTTATGCCCGTCACCACGGTTGTACTAGAAGGCGTTCCTCGCGATATGAAGGTTCTGTTCCGTCACTGGGACGACAAACTTATTCCCGCAGCAGGTCTCATGAGCGGAAAGCTCGGGAGGGGGAAGAGCTTGAGGATTGTTGGCTTGGAGAAGGCTATCGAGGGTACGCGGCGGTAAAGCGGGGTTTGGTGAAGGATAGATGGAGGCTTGCGTTGTTCACCGTGGCGTTTCTCTTCAATAGGCTGTTGGCAAATAGCCGGCATAGTCGGAGTTTTCAGTTCTTCATGCATATTCATTATGCTTGCATATATCAGGCGATCTTTGCCCAGGGCTTGCATGGCGGTTTCACGGCGTCGTTGCGGATTGGCCTATTAGATCGATGTCATCGGTTACGTGGTAGCCACGGGACTTTTCAATACATTTACTTCAGAATCATCAAAGACTGGAGAGTAGACGTCTGTAAATCCGTACTGGCGACAATTGAAAAGGTGGCGTAGAGTCTGGAACACACAAATCGGCCCCTTGAGGAGCTTGGACACAAGCGGCAAACAGATTCGAGAACGTCGGAAATTAGCGATATTTGAGGAGTGGGGAAGTTCTAGTTTCAGGCGTGTCAAACGATTTAGACACATTCGATCGCCCCTACGGCTGTGTCTACCCATAATCGATTACTGAAACCGATTATCCCGCCGGTATTAGGAAGTGGAGATGCGTATTTAGGTTCTGTAACAGGCTTCATCCACGATGCTAGTCTGCTTAGGGCGTCGGGTACCGAGTGCGATTCATGTAGTACTACGTATCTTCTGGAAGCATCATAGCTTGTGGCGTATCGATGTTTCATGTCCACAAGTGCCCGCAGTGTTTGAGAAACATGAATAGAATACCGGCCAATGTGTTGGACTTGTCCACAGGCGCATTGTGTCATTGCCTCGAGGGGGGAGGCGCAGTGACTGTTGGATTGTACAGAGCGCGGGATTGCGTGGTCCTGTTACAGCCAAGGCTACATGTGACTGCTCACTACATGTCGTACCCTAACAGGCCCGGCAGTTTTTAGCCATCTACCTGGCCAGCCGCCAGTGCTGTCAACCGGTCTACGCACTGTATTTCGAATAGCCGTAGTCGCAGGGCACGGACGGGGGACATACGTATTGTAGTATGTTAGGCAGGCCGGTGAAGTGCCGAGAAGGTTGCGCGACGGGTCTCCCGTTCCAGCGCAAGGGCATAGGGACGCATGACGCACTGCCACTTAGCTCAAACCAGCCACGTCCATATTTCATTTACAGACAACCTGTCAGCGCATAACACTATACCCACCGGTAGTACATGCTTTTCATCGACAGGGAAACACAAGCGATCCAAGCCTTGCCCAAGCCTTTTGCCGAGGTAAATAAGCACGGCGATCCCTGCATTTCTCGACCACTCACCGCCCTGCTTCCCCACAAAAGTCGAGATGAAGTACCCACCACCGTGACGGAGCTTGATTAACTGTCGGGATGGCGACTTGGCACGCGCCTTGAAATGCGGGATAGTATCACAACCAGGGGCAGGGCCGATTGCGCTCATTGGGTACGAAATGCTCAAGACACTAGTGCAGAACGATTCAATCATGGGCAACGAGGGGCGAGAGGTGGCCCCATGACACAGGGAGGAAAGGCCCATCAAGGCAACGGATGAAACAACCGCAATATGTTTCCTGCGCTGTGCACCCAAGCTCTTTAACCGTCTTTGAGTATATAGGTCAAGACTTCCAAGACCAAACAAGCTCACCACCAAGCCTTTCATCTTCAACACTCAAGCAGTCTTTACTTCACTCACTCTCTTTTCAATTCACTCCTAGCGAGCACCAGCTTCTTTTCACAAACACCAACAAACAAACTTCAAGCTATCAAAATGGTTGCCTTCACCTCCGTCCTCCTTGGCCTTTCCGCCGTTGGCTCTGCCTTCGCCGCCCCCGTTGCCGATGTCCCTGACTTCGAGCTCTCCGCTACCCCCAGGCACTTGGCTGCCCGCCAGGACTACAACCAGAACTACAAGACTGGTGGTAACATTCAGTACACCCCCACCAACAACGGTTACTCCGTCACCTTCTCTAACGCCCAGGACTTCGTCCTTGGCAAGGGCTGGAAGCAAGGTACCACCAACAGGTAAGCCACACAAAGTCTTCTAGACACAATCCAACCAATGCTAACTCTGCTCCTTCAGGGTCGTCAAGTACTCTGGTTCCACCACTGCCCAGGCCGGCACTGTCCTCGTCGCTCTCTACGGCTGGACCAGGGGTAGCAAGCTCGTCGAGTACTACATCCAAGACTTCACCTCCAACGGCTCTGGTTCCGCTCAGGGCCAGAAGATGGGCCAAGTCACCTGCGACGGCTCCGTCTACGACATCTGGCAGCACACCCAGGTGAACCAGCCCTCCATCGTCGGCACGACCACCTTTGTCCAGTACATCAGCAACCGCGTCAGCAAGCGCTCCACCGGCGGTACCATCACCACCAAGTGCCACTTCGACGCCTGGGCCAAGCTCGGCATGAACCTTGGTAACCAGATGGACTACCAGACCATCTCCACTGAGGGCTGGGGCAACGCTGCTGGCAAGTCCCAGTACACCGTCTCCGCTGCTTAAATTGTGGGTCTGTTCTCTTCACAATGAACCAGGGGGGTTGGGATTGTGAAACAAAGGCTTGCGCAATCAATCATCTCTCCCGGAGAGAAGTAGATGGCCAAGGGGCTTTGTAAAAGGGGGGTTGACTTAGGGATGCTGCTGCTGTTGCTCGATTCGTTTGGTGTTTATTCTTCTTCTTGGTTTGTCAGGGCCTTGACACACCTTGACTTGTACATACTTCCCCACATTTTTGCTCCCGTTTCTTGTAGAAACGGAGCTTGAATATACATTATTGTCTATGACAATGTCTGGTTATGAACCGAAAATCCAACCAATCATCTCCCTTTTTTTTGTTTATTTCTCCATCGTGATCAAACTGACTTCTTTTTTTCTTCTCTTACGTGAGTCTTCTTTAGGTTTAACAAAATGCATGCATTCTTAGCTAGTGGGATCTTAGTGACTGCGAGACTCCAATTACCGCAGAGAAACGCGGGCTCGAAATGCCGGCCGGCGGGAAGGGCGGGGAAATAGCAATTGTCACTAAACAGGCCTACGTAGGTTGGTTGGCTGGCTGAACAGCCGGTGGCAGGATGGTTTGTCGGGCAAATATTAAGACACACAACAACATCTCCAAACGGTTTTGTGGCGGACATTTTGCCGAGTAAGAACGGGCGTCGGGTGAGATTGGCCCTATGAAGAAAAATCTCCTAAACTTAAAATTCGCTCGAGTTTCATGTGCAATGGTTCTTACAGCGCTTCAGGACATCACGTGGCAGAGCCTAAATAGGTTCTCTTTGTTGCTATTTGCTTACTTGAGACCACAAATGGATTCTGGGGGGTAAGGATTCCGGGACGGGGCGGCTCATATATAAATTCAGCAGGGGAGGGGGGGGGTTGTGCCGCCGTGTCATCCGTTGTCTACACGACATAACCTCAACAGTTTCATTGTTGCAAAATGTGAGGCTGATTTTGGTTCAGATTAAAAGGCTGATTAAATGCGTTTTTTTTTGGCGTTGGTGAGGTGAATGTCTTCTTCTCGTCGTGGTTGTGCAGATCTCTTGTTTGGGTCAATGGCAGACGTAGCACCGCCAGCAGTGTATATTGCACATGGGCTGATTGCCAAGTAACGAAAAAATCCGAACATAATTCTCATTTGATGCATCGGCACCTTGAACCCCCCCTGAGTTATATCTAATTTGCCCTCTCCCCCCTCTGGCTGACTAGGGCTGTGGGAGATGAGGATAATGATCAAGCTGTACTACAGGTCTTACGTGTCCTAGAATTGCAATGAAGAAATTTTAAATCATTCATATCATTACCTTGACGCTGACTAGAAGGACAGCAGGTGAAAGATTGGGCGGAGTGTTGGCGGTGCATAACTCTAGTTATGGTAGTCTTCAGGGGCTGGCCATCATCACGTTACTGAGCTCCTCAGCAGTACGCAGAATGGATCTGCAATTTCTGGTACTGCTACAGATACTGATATACCACAAGAATTATCCATTGCCATTTTATAAGATGTTTCGATAACAACAATTTTGAGCAACGCAGGCAGTCTAAACTTATTCATTTTGCGGGACGTTGTCGCGTCTAAGCCCACAATCGGCGATTCATATCCGCCAAACACTTGAATCCTATGGCCGGAAGCCATGAGACTGCATTCACAAGAGAAACGGAAACAAATTCGGCTATATCATTACCATATTGGCTTGCATAGTGCAGAAATGCGCCGATGCCTGCAGTCGCAATGACAAGCAGACCTACCTATGGAGACAAAAAAATTCATAGTGGCAGCTCACTGGTTAGAGAGTACATCTCAGTGAAAGTCAACAGTAAGGTAGACTGGCTCTCGCTGTGTCGGTTATAGACATAGGTAGCATGACGGTTTGAGATAGAGAGCACGTGTGCAAAAAGATTGTGGAGGATAACAAATGTACAGTCTACTGAGGTGTCCCTCCCGAAAACTCTTCCATTCAAATCTGCCCGTTGAATCGTTCCTGATAAAATAGCCCAATGAAGGCGCATCATTATTTTGGTGTTCTGATGCTCGGTCATGGCGGCGCAAAGGCGCAAGGCGAGAGTTGGAGGTCCGTGTGGACGCTAGTTCCAAAACGGCTTGCTAAGCGGATCTACACACTTTGGTTTCTCGCTCATTGACGACTTTGAGATTTCCCACGACAACCTCCTACTCACAACAACACCGTCGCCATGGGTAGGGTAATTCGCAACCAGCGTAAGGGTCGCGGATCCATCTTCACGGCCAACACCCGCCTGAACAAGAACCCCGCCCAGTTCCGCACGCTCGACTACGTATGTTCCGCCGCCCGCGACCTATGGCAAAATTGGATACGCATACACTGGGAACGGAGGGCTAACGGGCACAGGCTGAGCGCAATGGATACATCCGGGGTGTCGTAAAGGAGATCGTCCACGACTCTGGTCGTGGTGAGTAGCTAGTGCCAGAATGCGGAATTCAGGACTCCAATTGACCATTTTTTGAACAGGAGCTCCTCTTGCCAGGGTTTCTTTCCGCAACCCATACAAGTTCAAGCACGACACCGAGACCTTCATCGCCAACGAGGGAATGTACACCGGCCAGGTCAGTATTTGGAAATTTCCGCATGGAATCCTGCACGGGGGGGAGAACAGCAGACTGACACCAACCCAAGTTCATCTACGCCGGAAAGAACGCTGCTCTCACCATCGGCAACGTCCTTCCCCTCCACTCCGTCCCCGAAGGTACCGTCCTCACCAACGTCGAAGACAAGAACGGTGACCGTGGTGCGCTCGGCCGTACCTCCGGTAACTACGTTACTGTCATTGGCCACAACCCCGATGAGGGCAAGACCCGTGTCAAGCTCCCATCTGGTGCCAAGAAGGTTCTTCCCAGCTCATGCCGTGGTATGGTCGGTATCGTCGCTGGAGGTGGCCGTACAGACAAGCCTCTCATGAAGGCGTCGCGCGCCAAGCACAAGGTACGCTTTAGCCTGGTCGAATTGATGAGGTTCGTTGCTAACAAAACATAGTTCGCTGCCAAGCGCAACAGCTGGCCCAAGACTCGTGGTGTTGCCATGAACCCCGTCGACCATCCCCACGGTGGTGGTAACCACCAGCATATCGGTAAAGCCTCGACCATCTCCCGATACGCCACCCAGGGTCAAAAGGCCGGTCTCATTGCCGCGCGGAGGACAGGTCTGCTCCGTGGTACTCAGAAGACAAAGGACTAGAGTGGTTTTCTGTGATGTGGTGGCGTTTTTCAACGACAGGAACGACGATGATGCGGTCGGTTATTCTCTCCATACCTCTCTGTGCGGGTGGCCGGGCGTTATAACGAAATGGAAACTTGTCGGCAAGCTAGGCTTTTCCCTACTGTGGCTTGCATGCATGATAGGTTCTTTAGGGAATGTGATTCCGATAAAAAATGCATCTGGTCTGTATTTTTGAAAGTGGTGTGCCTGACATGGTTAATTGAAGCTTTGCTTTGTTGTACTGAGTGTGTAATAAATTGACATGACAGCACTTATGCCCCACCCATTTCAACGTCTCCGTCTACGTGCTGACTTGTGTACCCTTGATGTCCATTCTGATCACTACCACTGTCATCGTTGTCATCCTCTACATCTGCACTGGCCTTGCTCTTCCTCCTCTTCTTCTTGACACTGTAATCCATATCCAAGATCCTATAGTGCTTCCTGTCGCTTGCCAAAACCACAATCACTCGCCTGTCCTTTCGCCCGTTGACCACCAACTTGAGCGGTGTAAAGCGGCCTTCAAATACGTGGCGCGTGTACTTTTCTACGTCCTCGGGCGTTACGGGGATGGTTTGTCGAGAGGAATGCGCTACGGGTTTGCCTTGAGGGAGGAGGCAAGACGGGACTGCAGCGGGAGAAGAGATGGGGGTAAAGTATATCAACTGTTCTTTTTGATGTTGCTGGTGCTGCTTATGCATCGGTGACACGGTAGTGGGTGTATAAGGTAGAGAGACGATAACGTTGGTTGGCTTGGAGTGTTTCTTGCGGTCGCCATCTGACGGCGAGAGTTGCAAGAGGACAAGCAAGTTTTCGTCGTCTGCGAATTTGGCGTCGAGGATCTTGGTTGACGAGTTGTCTCCGGTGCTGAAGTCCAGTGTGGATATGGCGTGGGAGTGGAGATCGCGTGCTAGGTGGGATATACTATGGGCGTGGGCGAGGCGGTGGATGTGTAGATGGGCTGGTGTGGATTTTGAGGAGAAGAGGATATATGTCGACATGGTATCGGACCAAGTTTCTTGAGAAGGCTTCTTGAGATGTTAGTATCCCGATTGAGGTTGGAATTTGCGGGATATTCTTCTTACCTCAGATACCATTCGCATATCCGCCACAATATTCGATTCCTCATCTTCAGCTCCCATGTCTTCGAGGACAAGGCCCGAGTCCATTTGGATATTAGCCTGCTGCCATTTGCTCACCTGTTTCAGCAACCCCGTTACGCCCGTTGCCAAATGTCGCAGTACATGTTCCAAACACAGTGCCTCTTCCTTGAACGTTGCTCCTTCTTTCAGCAAAGCAATTGCCCTCTTTGTGTCTTCATAACTTGCCGCCTCCTTCTCTCGACTTTTGGGGTCCAACTGAGCTTCCGGCCCCAGGTAGAGAGCAACATCAGATTTGGTGAGGCCATACTGGATATATGCAAGGACCTGTGATACGTCGACTCCCGGATCCCGTTGTTCCATTTCTACGCGCGATTGGGATTCTGGCTCTGTAGCCTGGAAATCAATAGTGAAGCGCAGCCACTTGCTGAAGCTGTGAAATTGGCGCTTCTCTTCCGTCGCATAGAGCATGGCAGTATGAGCGAGCAGCCTCATGTTTTTCAGCGTTTCTAAAAGGGCTGAGAAGTCGGTGATGGGTCCGCTGAAGATCCAGTCTCGATCATGAAACTGCGCGAGACCACGCAAACGTGATACGACAATGGAGCAGCGGTCCAAGGCCGGGATGAGGTTCTCGTGAAGAAGGGCAAGAAGTGTTGTAAAGGAGGATGTGACGGTCGTGTCCCAACGCTTATGGCCTGCTTCTGCTAGCTCGTCGACCAGCCATTCTTTCATTGTAGGGTTACAATTCCCTGTACACGCTATGTGGAACAGATTCGTGACTAGGTCGCCCAACTCTTTCTCTTCGAGTGTCTCGCTTATGTTCATCATAAACTTTCGCGGCAAATCTTGCGCGTGTTTAAAGAAAGCCCTGACCCGTTGCAGGGTTTGTGTGATGTAAAGAAGAAGGTTCTGTAATTGCGAACTTTTTGCGGCTATGAGGTGGAGGTAGATTCCTGCGGTTGGGATGAAGTTTAGAGTGAGCGGAACAAAGGCGATACTCTTTCTTGCTGGCGAGGCAGCGGATATTGTCCGCATCAAAAGGCTGTGGGTACAGCTGTATGGATGGCTTGTATGCAATAGCGGCATATGTAATGTGTTCCATGTCTTCGGTAGTTGGACGTTGACTGTTTCTAGCGAATCGTATATTGACGGGTGTACGGTCCCTCGGTCAGATAAACGGATGAACATGTCCACAGAGTTATGATCCTTCAAGTGATGTGAATGCAACAACGAATCCACCTCGGCTTGAGAACCAAATGCACCGGAATCTGCCTGCGATACGCGCATGAACGGTAGTGCTGGGGGGAGCGGTATCGCAGGAAGTTTGGGCAATAGCGCTTCCGTGTCCATCATCGCAAGTTGATCTGGCAGATCGGGTGCAATATCCAAAGTTTGGAAATCAGGTTGCCGTTGCAGGAAATCCTCTAACGTTGTGTCATCCTTGAAAACATCCCAATCTTCGGTTGTAGGGTTCCCAAATGCATCAGTCTTCTCAGATGTGGTGCCATTCGTCTTTGACATCAACCCTGTTCTCTTTTTTACAGCATCGACATTGATGAAATTCAGACCCCAGCCTATACACTTGACCCGTGCTGGAGCTTCTTTTGTCATGCTACCATTTCCTTCTTCGACATCCGGTAGCATGACATCTTTGTGCGTAACCTTACCTGTTTCTGCACTGATCAGGTCTGTGCTCCCATCGCTCCAACTAACAGCGATACTTTTGCCGTTAAATTCCCACTGCAGTGCATCGACGCACACATCCTCGCTCTTTCTCTTTAGACCAAAAGCCCTTTGGCCGTTGATTCTATAGACATCTAGATTCTCCTCATCCGTGACTACTGCAACAAGATCCATGCTAGGGCAGTAGGATATCAAATGTGGGTGAATTGGATGTAATAGGGTCTTTTCTGCCTGCTGTAAAAGCTGACGTTCTTTTTGTGGGGTTGTAGTCGCCATAATTGCTGATTTGCTGGCCTCGAGGGCCGTTGTGTGAAAGGGCAAGAAGTTTGGGGGTGTGTGTATTCAGTGCTTATGATTTGTTTGTAGAAGCGCGTTCTAGTCCAAACATGACTAGCGCAGTCGCGCTATCACGTTCGCACATTACTCGTGCCTTGTCATGCCACAGAAGACGCGGGGCAAAATTCTGGTAATTGGCACTTTGACACAGTAGCCACAATGCCCATCTGGCCGCCTCAGCTTCATGGTTGCATAAACATACGCGTCTTGATGATTCGGAATATGAATGTCTGATATTCATCTGTGGAGAAATGATACCCAGCATAATCGCCGGGATTCCTCTGGGTATCAATGTCATGCTATCGTAGTACAAATACAAGTGGCCGGCACCTTTATCTCGGGGGCCATGTCCCAATCCTTCAAACCCATACTACAACAAGAGCCGTAAACGCCACTGTGCGGTGCAATGTGTTGCACAAACCACATCTAGTTCCCAAGTCACGAAGCGGGCAAGACATACCCATGGACGACCCAGAATAACAAAACTCTCTATGCACACACTCTCATCATTTTCTGGCTCGTTCTATCGACGCGCCGACTGATTCCTCTTTGGTTGCACAGAATCTTTCTGTACCCGCCCTCTGCCTGTCCCGCTGAGTCTGCCACTCAGCCGCGTCTCCTCATCAAAGCTGGGTCGCTTTGTGTTGCGACCGCTCTCCAGATCGTCATCACTATCACCGGCAAGGTCGCCCAGCTCGAACTGGTTCTCAGCATCGTAATCGTGCATCAGTGCACTTCTGTCGCCTGCATCTGCATAGCTAGACCTGCTGTTTCGGATGACGCCATTCGACTGGTGCTCATAAGGATCTCCGCTGCGTCGCGATTGCATACTACGTCTTGTAGGGAAGCCAGAAATGGCATCAGATGGCGGACCGTCCAATCGAGAGCCAAGTGCTGGATCGGCGCAAGGGTCTTCGCGCGATAGGTTGAGAAGGTATACACCAGAAAAGATAATAAGAAAACCACAAAGGAGAGAAATAGTGTTGACCGCAGACGTAGTGTTGAAGCCTTGGAACAAAAGACATGAAGCAACAAGTGTACAGGTTGTAAAAGTAACATAGTAGAGGGGGTTCACGCTAAATCACAAAAGTTAGCACACATGGGCGGAGGCTGCAACATGGAGACGTACATGTTTGTGGAAAACTGGCTCAGTGCCTTGTTGAAGTAGTTCATCTGAGTGAGGATGCACCCGACTACCAAGATGACGAAGACGTATGTCGAAGGATGGGTGAACTGGTTGTTTCCCGCAAATGTCATCTTAAGCGCGATACCAAAAGCCTTGATGAACATGATGGAAACGGAGCCGGAGGTGGAGCAGATGGAAAGGTAGATGAGGGGGTTCTTGCGACCGTACTTGGGCGCGATCTTGTAGATCATGAAGACGCAGAAGATGGCGCAGAAGGCGCAGTAGAAGAGGAAGCCTGTAGTGATGCCTTGTTAGTCGCTGCTGTACAAAGGCATATGGGAGAGGCTGGGCCAGACGTACCAGGCTGTAGAGCAAGGTCCAGAATCTCCTCGACCGACTGGACCTCCTTGTCTGGCGGCGCGTGTAGCACAATGATGACGGAGCCGACCAGACATATTGCGCAGCCAATCTTTCCCAAGCGACCCAATTGCTCGTCCAAAAAGTAGGAGCCGAGGACAGCACCAATGAGGACGGAGAGAGCTCCGAGGGGGGTCACGAGGATGGCGGGGGCGAAGGCATATGCAGCGAAGTTGAATATTTCACCGAGCACCACTGGAAAGCAAGTCAGCGCTGCAAAGGGCAGTGGCAGCGTGTCGCGATGTAGGCGCACTCACTTGTGATGATGCCTGCCCACCACACGGGGTTCTGGAGATATCCAAAGCCGTCTCCGTCGAAACCATGCTTTTCGATGGAGGCATTGAGACCCTTCTTGGTGATTACAAAACTCGCGCCGATGGCCAGGGACGAACTCATGGCCAGCATGAGCCCTATGTATCTGGCGTCACAGTCAGTGGCCCGTTGGTGGTAGCTGGGGGGTGCGGGCGCATAGCGTACTTGTCTTCCACCATGATGGCGCCGTGTAGAGGTCTATGCGACCTGTCTCAGCGGAATCGCGACCAGATGATGGAGGGAGGAGTGGCCGGGTCGCGGTGCAAGACTGGCGATGAAGAGGTGTATGTGAGTGCGCGTGTGAGGGTGTGTCTGTGTGTGTGTGTGCGTGTGCGCGGTGGAAGCTGCTGTGTACGGGGTTCGACGTTAGGGTGGGTTGGGGAGCGCAGCGTGGCGTGGCGGCGGGCTAGACGCAGACGTGCAGTGTGGGCACAGGCGGGTTATCGATAGGCCTCCGTACCGTGGCCTGGAGTGCCGAACAGAGCAATGCGGCGGCTACCGTCTTGCGCTATTGGTAATGGCGTGTTTGGCGGTGCTGAGGAGGCGACGCTGCAGCAGCAACGATGCAGTCTGGGTCGGGAATGCTTGCGCAGAGGCGCTGCGTGTTTCACCAGAGCACGGCCAAGGACGCTGTGCTCGCCTGTGTCGTGTCGAGCAAAGCCGGCCTGGAAACGAACGGACGAAACGAAGACAGATGCGATGCGGGCAGCAGGCGAGGCCGTCACAGCCGTGGCAGCGCGCGTGGCTAGTCGCGGTACAAATGGAGAGAATAGTAGTACATAAGAAGCGGCGTCAGGCCGGAAAAAGAAAACAACAAGCGAGCGTCGTGTGCAGGCAAGAGGCGTGGGCGCATGCGAGGGTGGCCATATGTAGTAGTGTTGGACCGGCTGGACATGCGCGAACAAGGAGAAACACTTGTCGGGCCTTGCCTTGCCTTGTCGTGTGGCGTGCCACCCTCGAGGTACGACTCCGCCGACGCCGACGCGCCAGTGTCAGCCCGCCCCAACGTTTCATGGCCGATTCACTCAACGCCAAGGTCATAGCTTGCCGATCTCCTCGTCACGCAGTCGACGCGGCCTCGGTCTCCTGCAATGTCGCCCTGCTCCCCTCTACTTGCTCTCCCCCCAACAACCTGCCGAACCATCAATCTGCCTCTGCCTCTGCATCTCCAGCCTCCCTGGCCCCGAGCCAGCCTGCGCCCCCTCATCCGGCCATACAGCCTCGTACACTTCTCCACCACGTGGCCCGCTGAGGCTGTCGATAATGTTAAAAAAAACTGCGCCTCGTCATGCCGTCTTTAGTCACCCCAAAATAGCAGGCCTCGTAACCCTCTTCCCCACAACCTGGTCGGCAAATATGGAGAGCCTAGACCATTCGTGTCATCACCGCCAGCAACCGGAACCTAATTTCTTAGGCCACGCCGAGCAATCGTCACAACGCTGCAAATAGTCCAAAGCCCACATAAGCTTTGCAGTCTTCCATTGAGAGCCCAGTCCTGTCTCTACATCCCTATCACTATCTTGGGAAAAAGCAAAAGTGCCTCGAAGCACTTGGGTATATCGCTCAAACTGCCTCGCCCCCTCTATGCCCCTTCGCCCCATCAAGCACCAGACAACGTCACCTCAGTCGTTATTCGCCCTACAAATCAATCGCCAACCAACCAGAACCAACGCAAAAATCATAATCCGGGGACGTCGTGCCGGGGTATAACAAAGGAAAATCGCCAGAGATTACCTTCCCTCTTACCTTTTGCCAAAGCCACAAGAAAAAAATCTCTCAAAAGCTCGTCGTGTGTTGTAATATCGGTCCTACAGTTAGTGTACACTTGTATTAGTTCAACCTTGGGTAGATTCCAGGGCGGCATGCCCATGTAGCTACTTGTTAGTATGTCTGAAGACCCGAAGACTCCGAGGACGGGGCGTCTTTCACACTCGCGCGCGTTTAGCGTCTACATGTACAGAGTCAGCGTTTGCGTTTCGCTTCAAGGGCAACCAGGCCATCACCGTACCTATAGAGTCGGATGCAATGTCCACTCCATGTCCAGCCTCGTCAATAGATCGCTTGTGTCCTTGTGAAGACACATCATGGGCGTCGGTAGACGAGGCCGTCGTAGGATCTGCAACCGAAGACGTTGCACTGCCGAGCTGTCCAGCCACGCCATCCTCTTCGTCTTGAGCCTCGACATTGTCGTCTTCATGTCCCGTCGTCGTCTCCGCAACGTCTTGGGCTAGGCCCTGGTCGACAGTCCACTGCGCATTGTCCACAGTCAAGACATCATTCGCGCCCGTCGAGTAATCGCCATCAACCTCTTCTCCATTCGTGAACTCCACCTCTGCTTGTTGCTCCAAGTCCTGGTATTCGTAGTCGCCATAGTCTTGGTTAGCATCGCCATCAAACTCAAACTTGGTGGTGTCATTTTGGACCTCATCCGATTGCGACTCATCGGCGTCGACTTCTTCAAGGGCCTCAAGCTCTTCAGCGTATTCCCAGTATTCATTGGGATCGCTGTCAAAGTCCTGCTCGGCGTCGACGTTAGGGTCTTCTGTAGTGTCAAAGCTGCCTTGGTCCTCGTCCCCGTTTGATTGCTTGCCAATACTTGGCGATCCTGCAGCAGGTGACTGCCTCTCCGCATTGGCTGCTTCGTCGCCTTGCATAGTGGCGGGCGAGGGCGAAGGTGATGGCTCAGTATGAGGTGCTTCTTCAGCCTCCTCGACAGCAGCGGACTCTTCGTCCTCTCCATCGCTGTAATCGATAATGTCGCCTTCCTCTTGCAAGCGACGGGCCTCAAGTTCCGCTGCAGTATGCTCATCAGACTGTGAGCGTGTCTGTTCAGGGTAGCCTTCAACCCTCTGTGTGTTTGTAGGGACTTCACTGGAACTAGGGGGCTGTGATGCGTGATCCACATCGTCATCCTCTTCATGACCTCCGGTGGACACGTTTTCAGTCGCAGCCTCTACGTTTTCGCCAACCTCAACACCCCCTTCCTGGGCAGAGTCTTGCGTGCCATCTTCATGGCCATACTCCTGGCCAGGATCTTGCTGAGGCTCAACCGCTGCGTAAGTCTGTTCATCTTGATTGTCTTGATCCTCCGGCTCAGGTTGGCCTCCTGCATGCAATTGGACATTGACGTCCTGTGGGGCCTGGTTTTCAATATTGCTTTGCTCGTTTGCATCTTCCGCGGGCCTTGCGCCATTCGAATATTCCTCATGCGTTTGCCCGTTCGAACCTTCTTCCTCTTGTGGTTGCGCACTCGCATCTCTCTCGTGGCTATCTCCCTCGTCATCCCCATGTTGCAGCTCCTGCTCCTGCTCCTGTTCTTGTCCCTCAGTGTCCCATTCGGTGTTTTCCTCGGCTGGAAGATCAAGAGGTGCACTATGAAAGTTAGTCTCGCCTGCAGCGATAGCAGCTTCGAGCCCCGAGTAGCCACGTCCATTGTCAGCATATCTCGCTATGTCTGCGAGCAAGGTAGCGAAGCGTGGACGATACATCAAAGTCACGTAAAACGAGTCTGGATCGTTGTTGCCGTCTTGTTCATGGAGGACATGATAATAGCCCACGAGGCGTTCAAGGGAGATGGCTACGCAAGCCGTGTTCTCCTCAAACAGCTCCATATTTTGAAAATGATCAAAGCGGAAGCCAATCTCCATTCCATTCAGCACCTCGTGGCCCAATGCTGAACGACACGCTTGGAAGAGATCTGACATGCTCGTTTTGGCCACTGATACGTCAGCAAGGAGCCAATCTCCACTGTTTTCATAGTCATGCTGCTTGAAAAGCCATAGTTCTTCGCCCATGCAATTCACAGTGATAGGTGGTAATTGCTGAAGAGAGATATCTTCCTCATGTTCAGTAACTTGAGCAGATTCATCATGATCATGGCTCGCAGGTTCCATGTGATTGTGACCACTTTCAGCACTTGAATGCTCTTCTTGGTCTTTGAGCGTAATGCCGCCATCGTCACCATCAGTCTGGGCATCTTCTTCATTAGGATCAGCTGACCGAGCACGGGGTGAGTTCTCATTGTTATCGCCTTTCGTGCTCCCGTCACCAACGACGTCAGGGTGCGCATGTGGGCTCTGTGAGTTTTTGCTTGTGTTCGTGGACATTAGAGCTTGTAAATCAGCAGGTATTTCGTCTTGTTGGACTGGTGCGTCCTGCGCCTGTGATGGTTCGTTTGGCTGAGCGGGCGCATCATGGGTCTCAAAGGGTTCATCTTGCTGAGCAGGCACATTCTGAATCTCAAAAGTTTCGTCTTGTTGAGTAGGTGCATCCTGGACCGGACCTGGTTCATCTTGCATAGAATCATGTTGCTGTAACCAGGGTGAACGAAGCGCTGTGTCGTGGTAATCATCGTCCTCTTCAGAATAGTCAAGCAGGTCTTCATCTTGGACTTCGGCTTCCGCCTGAGTGGCGATGGTCTCGGTTTCAGCAGGCTGTTCGGCGACGGCGTCGACGTCGACGTCGACGTCAACATCCACATCGACGTCTTGATCTTGGTAACTATAGTCCTCTTCGATGACATCCTCCTGGTCGACCATGTAATCATCATTGTCACCGCCGGGTGCAGTCTGGGCATCCATTCCATTCGCCGAGGCCGCATCGCCGATAGAGACATCATCATCCGGGCCATACGAAGGCGGAGGCTCTAAATCCAATTCGATGTCACCATCGTTGTAGCCGAGAATGCCATCGTCCGAGTGCAAGTCCATGTCATCGGCTGCAGTAATGTCGAAACTAGGCGTAGGATGCGTAGTAGCAGCCATGATAGCTGTGAGGTGGCGACAAAGGGGTTTGCGGGTCTAGGTATGTGTAGTGGTCGAAACGCGTAGATAAAGGAGCGTGGGGAGCGCGTCAGAGCTTGGTGCAAGTCACAAGGTGGCGATGCAACAAAGCGCAACACCGGAACGCAAACTTGATAGTGGGTGCACTGTGGCAAAGAAAAGCTAGAATCGCATGGTGAGGCGGTCTCTGATGGTTTTGCAGTCGTGAAGATGTGGACTGGGTGAGGGTGAGGGCGAGGAGGACAGTGGAAATGAGACAAAGTGCGCACAGCGGTGTTGGCGCTAGTACGGGAAAGAAGACTGGTGGGAGCGGGCAAGTGGCAGCAGAACGTGTGCAGTACGTGTACTTGGTGTAAACCTATCGGAAAAGCCGGGGCGGCCAGTGTTTCCGTCGTATCGGTTTAGAGTTGCAATTTTGAGCGTGCAAGAGAGGCTGCCTAGATGCGGGTTTCGCAATTGAAGAGTTGCTAGTGATGACCAGAGGGCATGGGCCGGAGAGGCTACTTAACAATGGCAGCCGGCGCTAGGCAAATGCGGGTGCACGTGACTCCAGGTGTCCACTTGGAACCTCCAGGTGTTGCGACTGGGTGCAGCTGCACCTTAGAGGCGGTGCCTGTCAACCTGCCTTCGTAATACCCAGAGACAATTTGCCCGGTCTTGTTACCACCTTTGGCTGGCTCTGCTACACTTTGTTCCTGGAATCTGCCTTCAAGATACGCTTGCTGTCTTGAACAACTGTCCGTCTCAATAATATTCCCCACCATCTCCAGCAACGCGGCTACACGTCCACAACCTTACCACCCAAGTCACCACTACTTTTCAGCCTCTCTCGTCTTCTTTTCAACACAGCCAGGTAGACATTAGCCACAATGGTATGCAATTGTACACGACACATGGCAGTCGACCCTCTATTCACCCGCACCAAGCTGACGAAGCCAGGTGGTCCTCGCGGCTTCAATATGCACAAGAGGCGGCAAGGCAGTCCTCTCGCGCCAATTCCGAGAAATGCAGCGCTCCCGTATTGAGGCTCTCCTCGCCTCTTTCCCCAAGCTCGCCGACAGTGGAACCCAGCATACCACCTGCGAACAGGACAACGTGCGCTACGTCTACCAGCCCCTCGACGAACTTTACATGGTCTTGATCACCAATCTACAATCCAACATCCTCCAAGACATCAACACTCTGCACCTCTTCGCCCAGGTCTGCTCCTCGATATGCAAGTCTCTCGATGAGCGCGAGATTCTCAAAAACGCTTTCGAGCTTCTGACGGCCTTTGATGAGATTGTCACACTAGGATATAGGGAGAACTTGACCATGAGCCAGATCAAGACTTTCTTGGACATGGAGTCACACGAGGAGCGTATTCAAGAAATTATCGCACGGAACAAGGAGCTTGAGGCTTCGGAGGAGCGCAAGCGCCGGGCCAAGCAGCTCGAGATGCAGCGCAAGGAGATGTCGAGATCGCAGCGAGCGGGTGGAGGTATGGGAGGAGGTATGGGAAGCGGCATGGGAGGTGGAATGGGTGGTCGATCGCCATCGTATCCTACCTTCACACCCAGCGTGCCCACGACCAACGTTACAGACACCTACGACTCGTATGAAGCCGAGAAGAAGAAGGCATCGAGCAAGCCATTGGCTCTCGGCAAGAAGGGTATGCAGCTCGGAAAGAAGAACAAGACCAGCAACATGTACGAGCAAGTCACTGGTGAGGTCGCGCCAGCTGAAGAGGAGCCGCTTGTTGCACCTAAGCCAAGTGCATCCGCTGCAGCAGCCCCAGCAAGCGCACGCCAATCGACCTCGACTGACCGCGAACCCGTCCACATTACCACCAGCGAGACCATCTCGGCGAGACTCGACCGCGAAGGTCTTCTCAAGTCATTTGAAGTCAAGGGCGAGATGCAACTCAAGATCACCGATGCTTCTTTCACACAGGTCAAGCTGGACCTGGCCACGGGAGACACTCGTGGTGCTCAACTTATGACACATCCTAAAGTCGACAAGACAGTCTTCAGGAACGACAAGGTCATTCAACTTGCTGACACAAGCAAGGGTTTCCCATCAAACATGGGTATTGGCGTCATGAAGTGGAAGCTGGCACCACGACCAGACGATATTTCGGACCCACCTATCACATTCCGTGTCTGGGTCGAGGACTCTGGCAACATGTACAACATCACAGTCGAGTATGAGCTTACCGGTGGCGACTCGCTCAAGGATGTTACTGTCGCCATCCCTTACCAGACGGATGAGCCTAACGTGTCTTCTTTTGACGCCGTCTACGAAGTCAGCGGTGATAGTATCGAGTGGAACATTGGTGCCGTCGACGAGGCGAACAGCTCTGGTAGCTTTGAGTTTGAGGCTCAAGCCGGCAGTGACTCTGAATTCTTCCCCATGAACATTCGCTTCAGCAAGAGCACACCTTTTGTAGATGTAGATGTAAGTCTTTATTGCGATCGTCAAGCTCATCCACTAGAAAACAAGCACAAAAGAAAAAGCATACTGATCAAGACTGCAGGTCTCGTCTGTGACCCTACTCTCCATGGGTCAAGATATCAGCTTCTCCAAAGACGTAAAGTCTGTTGCCGAAAACTACACCATCTCATAAGCGATGTCATGTTTCTGTTAAAGACGCAAGCGGAATCTATTACCAGCAGCAAGGAGTGGGCGAATGTGCTGAGGACTGTAGGTTCCCTGGGCTATACTTGGGAAGTCAGATGTAGAGGGGTCCAGATAGACACTTAAAACTGGAAATGACATGGATTTGTGCTGAGAACAGAAGACTTTGACTTGTCTACGAAGGTGAAAGTGGAATTGCCGTTGTATACTCGAACATCATATGTGGCAGGTCATGTCATAAGAAATGAAACATGTTATGCAAATTGAATGTTGAGGTGGTGAAAGAGGGGCCCAACAACACCAAGTCCACAGGTTCACCAAGCACACACTGACAACAAAGGAAAGAAGACCATGTAGCAAAATATCCAAAGTTAAATTGCATTCAGCTATCGCTAATCCCGCTGTACAATAACAACAACAAAGGTCGTCAATGGTATATATAGTAAAAAAAAAGCTGTGGACAGCAAAAAAGGGGACAGGAGCACAGCAAAACCGCAACGCTTCAACAGCCGCACCTTGTCAAGAAGAAGAAGAAAAAAAGAACAGCGAGGTATCAAAACAGCCCAATAGAAAGCGGTGCCGCAAGTTATAAAAAAAAAAGCCAGAAATTCTAATATTGTATCGGCCGTTAAGATCTCTCTCTCACTCACTCAAAAAAAAGTCATCATAATGAGGATATACGTGTGTGTCAGTCGCCCGCAACATGTAAAAAAAAACAAGGCATGCGCGCGAATGATGTCAAATCAGGGCATCACCGAGGAAGCCAAAATCCTCCATAAGGGCATCAAGGCGACTAACGGCACTCTCTCTATGCAGACTGATATTGCGCCGATGCATGATGCGTTCGACTCTGACCTCGCTCTCCGGCAGCGTACTCTTGCTCGTTGTCTCGTCAGCGGGCAGACTGTACTGAAAGCCGAGGCCGAAGCAGGCGGCTTGGCGGCGGGAGGAGGTGGTGGAGAGGATGTGGGGCGAGGAAGGGGGCGAGGAGAAGAGATCGGAGCCAAAAGTTGAGATGCGGAGTTCGGAGAGGCGGGGTGGGGTTGAGATGCGGTGGGTGGAGGTGGTGTCTTCTTCGTAGTCTTCTACTTCTTCGTCGTTGTTGGATGAGGAAGAAGAGGAAGTAGAAGGGGAAGATGGGGTGGTTGTGGTGGTGGTTGGGAGTTGGAGTTGGGAGAGGAGGTGCGATAGGTGGGTTGGAGAAGAGGGGGTAGGGTCCGCGTATGAGTAGCGGATTAGCAGGCCCTGGGGTATGTCTGCATCGCTGTCGTTGCTGGTGAGGGAGCTGAAGGTTGGGGAGAGGACGATTTCGTCATCCTCCGAGATGGGGGAGTTGTAGCCGATGGAGTCGTTGCTCCAGGTGGAGAAGTGGCTGCGGGCTTTTTGTTCGAATTGCAAATCCAAATCCAAATTCAAGTTGTCCAGGCGCTCTTCGTCTTCGGCTTCTTCAAACTCGTCTTCTGACTGTTCGGCTTCGGAGTTCGTGGTTGGAGAACGATTGCAGGCATATAGGGGTGCGGGTATTAGGTAGCGCGGAAGTGCGGGAAGCTCCTTGTCGAGAAGCGACTTCCGGAATGTTGGATTGGGACGCTCACCATGGCTAGATGTAGGGCGCTCGTCTGGTGTTGGGGCCCCAAGGTAGCTAGAGGGTCGCGATAAGATAGGGGCAGATGGGGTGTCATCCTCCACCACGGTGTCCTTCTCTTGGGGATTTTGCATCAACTTGGGTGAGGTGAGCCATGGATCATTAGAGAAGAGATAGTGCCGTGTTCGCCTTGTATCTGCTGAATTGGCACGAAGTCTGGATTGCTCGATCTGGAATTCACTAGTGATGATTGAGGAGGGCACATGTGATCGTCTGCGCGTAGGGCGCTCCTCTATTGCCGATAACTCCGCAGGTCCAAAAGCAGAGTCCAGATCAGGGTCCACAGGATGCGATGCCAATGGGGAGAACTTCCTTCTCAATGAGGGCAAAGACCGCTGCGGCGTAGTCTCTGGTTGGGCCTCTCGTATTGATTCAACTGATGGACGATACACTGATAAGGGGATGAGGTTGAGGTCTTCTCCACCACTGACAAGCACAGGCGAGCTGATGTCCAACTCTCTGGGTTTCGATCCACATCGATTTCTCGAGTTGGCTCGTTTTGAGGCCAGTTTGTCTTTTAGGGCCTTGAAGTCTGCGAAGATAGGAGTGGAAGGCAAGTAGGGCGATGCTGATGCGCTTCGCGCATGGCGCACAGTGTGTGGCGACAAGAAACAATCCATGGGCGCATGTGTCGCAGACCGCGGGGTCCAGGGCGAAGGCAAAGGAAGCGTAGATGCCTCTGGTGTCCCCGCTGGCCTTGAAGTAGGATGCGACCTTGGAGGCGTAGGTGGAACTGGCGTAAGATATCTATCGTTGGGATTACGTGTAAAAGCGAAAGTTGTGTCAGAGTGGCTGCGACCGTGTCCTTCACGAGGTACATCCAGAACGTTGAGGCGCTGACCTGGCAGAAGAGGGCAAAACGTTGTAGACTCTTCAGCAGGGTTGTGTAGTTCCTCATCACCGTCAATCTTGTACTATATTGCTGTCAGCTTGCAAAGCCGCCTGGTATAGCAGCGAACATACATAGTACCAATAAGTGCCACCCATTTTTAGTGGTCCGTCGCGTTTTGGTGATTGCTGGGTCAAGTCTCCGTCGCAGATAATGTCAGAAAAAGTAAAGCACCCTTTCCATATATTACGGCCCCCGCGTGAGTCGAGTTCCAGTGGGTATGACCGGGTAAAGTTATCCCAGGATCCAAGTAATACTACACTGCGTAGTGCGGCAGGGCAGTGGCTTGATACGAGGGTGAGCGACGGGCACTGAAGTAGGAGGCACAGAGGGGGGTAGACATACAAGAGAAAAGTGTGGAGAGTGGTGTTGTCCATGGCCACGATAGCGGAAGAATCTAGGCTGATAACAGTAAGGCCTGTCAACTTTGAAGCGCGTATGCGTCTAAGCCCTGGCTCAGTCTGAGGAGTTGCATGGGACCAAGAGTGTCAAATATAGAAGTCCATGCAGAAGTACGTGTTGGTTTGTTTGAGCCTGATCCTTGTGTATGGCCGCGTCAGAGGAATGTCCAGGAAACGGGGCAAAACAATTCAGTGATTGGTGGGCGGAATTCAAGCGTTTAGAAGAATGCTGAAACCGAGCCCTCGAGGGTGTATGTCGGAATACGGCGAGGCTGACCGGGGGAGGCACACGCTGCCTGAGGAATGGAGAGCCGGCCTGTGAAATTTCCGCAGCAAACAAAAAAGCCTCGATGTTTTATGCAGGCTGTTGCCGACCGGCAGCACAGTGTTGGATTGTGGAGACTGAGGCTCAGTTGGGGAGGGCCAAGATTGGTGGGTTTGGCGCCTGTGGATGATGTTGGTATATAGGTGGTGAGGGAGGATGCAGGCTGAGCGCTTAGCATCGACGTCCAAATCGCTGAAATGTCGGCTAAGTGAAACACTCTATGCGAAACGGGCCGAGGGCCTGTGTATACTAAGTAAAAGAGAGGGTATGAAAAGGAAAGAAGACCAGCGGCGGATCGTAGGTCGGAGATGTAGGTTGATCTGGTCGGGGGGAGCCACTACGCGAATGACAGCCAGCCACTGGCGCCTTCTCGCTATGCCAGGAAAAAAGAGCAATGTCAAGCGGGCGCGGGCTTTTGGGAGCAGATGGATTTTAGATGCCTGATTCAAAACACGCCAGATTCTGAGGTGCATTATCGGACTTATGCGATGATGCGCTCCCGTTGGTTGGCGGGGCCGTCCACCAGAGAGGAGACTTCAGCTCCTTCATTTCCTCAGCCGTGCTCTCTCCATGACGGCAGGCTATTGCCCTCGGGTGCATATGAGGCCATCGATGCCGCTAGCATTTACCTTATCATAATTGGCACCACGGATAGTTTGGGTCGCGCAGCAGCGGACGGGCCTGGTTTGTGTGCGGGTGCAAGAGAACGAGAAAAAGTGCGCATAGGGTTCAAGAAGCCAAGCCACGGGCAGGTTGTCCGCGGGAGGAGCTGAAAAGGTACGGTAGATCGCATCTTGCTTGATCCCAGGCTCCCCTGCTGTCGCTGGCCAACGGCATCCCAGACACGATTCAAGGGAGCGCGCGGTTACGCTGTGGGCCGCCACACAGCGACGCTTAACTCGCGGGCCCCTGACACGATCGTCTCCTACGGACCAAGCGACCCCACTCACAGCAGGTCGAGCGTCCACGAGGCGTTGCAACAACGCCATGGTCGCCGGGTTTCCGGTCCTGGTCGTTGCTGAGGACACGGCATGGGTTATCTCGTGGGGGCTGTTTGCTTGCTTCTCTCCACCATGACCACGACCACGACCATTGGCATCACGGAGCCGGCTCCTCATACGACCCCGCTCCCACCAACGGCCACCCTCGCCCCAACCCCAAGGCCAGCCTAGACATGTAGCCAAAGCATGTGGCCGTCACAAACGCCTGACAGTCGATAGTGTAGCGCTGGTTGCGGCACAGGTCTCACTGCTGGGCCGGGAATGGCCAGTCGTTAGTATGACCAGGCCAAGCCTCCCTTTGCTTTGCATTGCATTGCATACCTTGGAAGCGGAGCCTGCTACGTTGCCATGACGGCCACGAGAACCCTCGGTGCCGGCATTTATCAACCCTGTTTTGTTTGACTCTGCTAAGTGTGCTGCAAACGCCCATGTCCGGGAACGGGTGCGCGCGTGTCATGCATAGCCTGTGTGTTTTTTGTTTTTTTTTCACACATGGATGAGTTTGGTACGCGGCAGGCATGTGTTCCACCTCACATCGTTCATCCCTTGAACACATGTCAGTTGCATGCAGGGTCACTTGTCGAGCAGAGGGCAAAAAGCAATGACGTGCCACAGCAGGCGTTGCCTGGCAATCTATATGACATTTGTAGCACATGGTTTCAAGCCCTGGTGCATTGACGGGCATTTGCTGACTGCATTTCCGATAATCGTCCGTCCGTGATAGGACTAGTCTCCCGAGTTTTACTGGAAACTCGTCTCCAGCAATGCCGGCTTGCGATCTTCAAGATCCAAAAGCATCTGCCCAAAAAGTCCGTTCGCCCACGAGAACCATTGCCTTGTCCAATCACTCGCGTTGAACGAGTTTACGCTTTCATGAATGAGGCCCAACCCATCAGTGCTGCTAACGATTTGCCTCAACTCGTTCACAATCTCAGCATCGTCATTACTCGTGAGGATGCGTACAATAGATGCCATAGGCCACGCTTTACCTAATCCTACATGTGGTCCGCCAATTGCGTTGATAACAGGCCCCCTCATATAATAGGGGTTTGTCGCGCTGAGAACTAAGTTACGCGTGTTGGCGTACGTCTCGTTATTGACCGGGTACTTGTAAAAGGGCGCAGAGAGAAGGCCCGGAATGTTGGCGTCGTCCATGATGTTACGCCCGCCATACCCGTCAATCTCAAACGCGTAGATTTTGCCGAAAGTGGGATGATCAACTGTCGCATGCTTCTCAATGCTAGTACGCAGTGACTCTGAGAGTGCAGACATCCTCTGCGCAAGCGCTTTGGTGTTGGTGCCATTCAGCTTTCCCATAATCTCAGCAGTGGGCGCCAGGAATGAGCTGAACATCATATTGGCGGGAATAAAGAGCTGGTAGATGGTAGAGTCGTCGCTAGGCCTGAATCCGCTTCGAATCAAGCCTGTACCATTGGCGACTGGATTTCCGATTCCATAGTTGGAAAACGTCTCGGTAGCTAGTACGTTTAAGCGCTGAAATGTATATGGGCTATCCAAAACAGCTCCGTCCGCACCATATGTCGGGAGCGTCATATCATCTGCAACGTTTAGAACGGCTTCAACAGCCTGTACCCACTTGAATTTTCCAAAGAACTCAATGTCCCCGGTTGCCTGGTAGTAATCGGCAGATATTTGCAAAAACGCTGCGAGCGAGTCTAGCTCATACTTGCATTCAAATACACTCTGGTTGGAGTACGTAGGGTGGACCTGATCTGTATTCGAGTAGCCGTTGGTGGCTGGAGGGATACCGCTTTCGGTGGGTGCCTGAAATGAGTTGCAATACGGAGATGTGAGCAGATACCGCGCCTGCAAGTTGATAACACCGCGGTATAGACTTGCAATGGAATTGGCATCGCTACTCGCGTTCAGCAGTGGCAGGTAGCTCTGCATCTGATTCGACGAGTCCCGCAACCACATGGCATCGATGTCTCCAGTAATGACAAAAGTCAACTCTTCCTCTGCGTTGTCGGCAGCATATCCCTTCCATTTGATGGCCGTGTCGAGCGTGTTGGGGTATGCATTCTGAAAAAGGCGATACAGATCCGGATCCTTGATGACGTCCTTCATGCGGGTGATGACATCTTCAAGGCCTTGAGATTTAAAGGTTCGGCACTCTTCTGACGGCCGCTGGTAGGCAAGACGGTACTTGCCTGAGCTTAGCGGCTCATGTATCTGTGTCGCGTAGTCGCTGTAATCTGGGCATTGTGCTGAGACTAGCAAAGGCACGCTGGAAAGCACACCGAGAAGCACTTGGTTGCGCATGTTGCAGTCAGGTAGCAAGACGGACTCGCAGTATTAAGGAAACCGACTATGGAGCGAAAGCGCAACGAAGAGCAAGCAGGAGCTCAAAGCTGCATATTGATGGTCTACAAGCACTTACATATGTACATAGCGACCTGGCCATGGTTGCATACCACCGGTATGTACCTACTATGTGCTTTGGCCACGCCGACGTCACTACGCTTGTGATCCGGATTGAGAATGTCACCCGATAGGTAGAGATGGCACAAATGAAGAAGGTCCAAGACTACCGGTGGCCAGCAATTGGTGCGCAGAAATAGTCAAATGACTAGTTGCGGGGAAGTAAGTGTTTGTATTGGTTCTTTTGGTTGCCATAGCTGGGGTAGGGCAGTATTGAGTGGGACGATCGGCGGTGGCGGTAGGCATGCCTATCCTGGGCATGAGGTGACAAAAGCTTGTCAAGCAGAACATACTGTGGTAGTAGGGAAAAGCTTCGTACGTAACGTAAAGACACTAAAAACGATGATCAGGCGCTTCTTTGGATGAATCTATGCCCAATCTATCAGAGAGAAAGTCTAATAAGATGTTCTAAATGGTTTCAACGGACGCTAAGCTACATATAGTATAGGTCTTGCTGCTTACCCCAGCCTGTGTTACGCCGAGCACATACATGATTTTGGCCTATCACCACAGTATAGCAGCGACCTAACTTAAAATTGGCATTGAGCGCATAATGAACTCTTGTAGTTGTAAACGGATTCATGGTGTTTGGAAATGAGAACTGTCTTTAGACACTTGGATACTTCGGCAGTTGAAAAGGAAACAACCACAAGGCGTTAGCGTGAGGGGATTCCGGGCAACCTCATATGTCATACCCCGTCGGACCAACTCCGGCTGCAGTCACCAGAAAAAAAGCATGGGCATGTCCATGTCCGGGAGACCTTTGCAGGACTAGGCAAAACAATAAAGCAAAAAAAGTTTGAAACACTGTACCGGTATATGTACAAATCAGGTACGGAGCATCCACCTCCAGTGCGACATGGCGGCACAAAAAGATAACCGGAATAGTGTAACCAAGGCCGGCCCGGTTGTGAAACAACTGCCGGAGGCGTATTGTAACGTGTAGTCTCCACCTAATCGATTCTGCACCTTACCCTTGCCTTTTGGTATATAATCAACGAGGAGGATGCGTCCTGAAATTTGTGTGTTCATATTTTTTTTGTTAAAAGGTGATGCTTCTCTTCTTCATTTGTAAGTGAAAAAAAATATGATAAATGTTGGCATACGCGACCATCTTCTAGAGCGTAGTTCGACAATTCCTCATCGGAGTACTCCTACAGGGACGTTTTGGAACATTTCGCAACACTTACAATATTTGGATACTCTGTAGTAGACCTATGTGTCAGGCTACTTGGGGTAAGGAGGGTGTGGATAATCTGCAGGGTCTTGCGTTCTACACGTGTAATGCTTGTTATTTTGGTCCCATGTTGGAAGCATCTGCAATGCTGTGGACCATGCAGCATGTTGTCCAACGTGACTGGCGGCCGATAGCTGTCAGAGAGACTTTAGAAGATGGGAGCAATCACAGAGGGACTTCTCGGTTAGAAGAGATATGACTGAGGGTTGATGGAGCTACGATTACACTTAGATCCTCTTCATCTTGCTCTGAAGAGAGTGCAAGGATACGCTGGACTTCTGTCAAGACCCGTACACCTCTCTTCTACTTGCAAAGAATATATATAAGTAGGTTGGGTTGATTGAACTGTAATGATCGAATGGTAAGTTGAGCTAGCACTGGACTTACTAGTGTTGCTAGAGTAACGACACGTGGAGGTGGGTCATTGCAGTGCACTTCACCATGCTAGTAGTCGCCAAGGCAAGGGACGTCGTATAGTTTGATGACCTATAAGCAAGCATGATCACAAAGAAAGAAAATCTGACCTGGATTGCATGACCCGTTGATGTAGTCGGGCTGAAGCTGGAACTCCTACAACACTCAGTTGCGGCTTCTATGGACCACCACATGCTCAAATCATGGTCCATCGCTGGAAGAGGAACACCCGTATCCGTGTTCGGGTAAGCTCCTCCCCCTAGGACCCAGACACTATCGTAACCGCTCGTGAGAACCTTAATCACATTGGTCGGCAGCACCGCACTTAGCGCCTCTGCAGCTGATACTCGGACAGTGCGAAACGCAGAGCGAACCCGCAGACTCGACGCAGACTTTTGTATCGAGTCTGTACTACCTCGTAACTGTACTGGAGGGTGCGTATATGCACCGAAAATTTGTCGAAATAATCACATTCCGTGCGCCTTCGGATCGTAGCATCGTGCATTCTTGATCGTGTTTGAATGTTTAGCCAACATGGCTCTTATGGTGGCATGCAGTGATGGCATCGTATCTTATCTGACTGCATCAATGTGCAGAAAGTGGCTTTGTTTGTGCATCATCCATAAGTGGTGTTGCTGGCGCTACTAGGGTCAGCGTCGTGCCATGGTGAAAGGTGAAAGTGGTCAGGGCTCACCTTGGACTCATGGGTGCATGGGCATGTTGTTGTTGTTGTGAATAGTTTACGCCCTTCATCATTCCAAACTGGGGAAGTCTGGACCAGTTGCGCTCTCTGACTTCGCGCATGTAGGCGTCTTGCTCGGGCGAGCGGTTGTAATGAGAGACCTCTGAGTCAGGGTCTTTGCCATAGAATCGGAAAATGGCAAAGCCGCAGCATACAAGGCCACCAGCTCCGAGGATGACGAGGAAGATGATGAGGGAGGGGGCGAGTTGGAAACCCATATTGTCTCTCTTTTGGAGGACCATGGAGGGTGGGGCGAATGGAGGCATGATGGCGGTAGTGCAAGTGGGCTAGTGTAATAGCGGGGTACAGCAGATGCAAAATAGTCGATGGTCGGGGCTGAGGAAGCGATTGAAACAACGACGAGGAGAGGGCAGTGAGTGAATGAAGAAGAGAGTGTTTGGATGAAAAATGTTTTGTGAATGGCGACGGCCTGGTGGAGCGGAAGTGCCGGAAGATGCTGGAGGGTGCGGATGGACGAAATGGAGGGGGCCAATCGTATTATGCTTACGATTACCGGACACGATGATGAGGTGATGTGGCCAACGTCACACCAAGCCAGCAAGAAAGAACAATAGAGAAGCCGTGGGGAGTGGGAGGAGGAGATGCCTTGGCGCAGGCCGGTTTGGGTGGCTTGGTGTAGCTATATACTCGCGCCCGCTGACAGCTGCGCCCGCCTGCTTGCTCGACCTCTTGTCTTGTCGATGCTGCAAGCTTTTCTTGCCAGACCGCCGTACATCGTATGTAATGGGTTGCGTCGGCCTCGAGGCATTGGGTCTTGTCGATCGCCTCCCATTGGCAGGGCCCGGGTTTCGCCCGTCGCAACTGGCTTATCCTTGCCCACCCGGTCGACGTCGAGCTGCGTCCGAAGCTGTTGGCGTCCCAAGAACGCGTAATTCACCCACCCTCCTTCACACCACCACCCCAGGCCGGCCTGCTATGGAAGATGCAAATACTTAACACACGCACGGAGCAAACCCGTCTCCGAACAGCCCTCACGCCCAGCCCATGGCACCCTCGGCCGAGGCGCAGTCTGCCTTAAAGCATCCGGCATCCCTTCTGTTGTCAGCCCCGGCGAGTCCTGCGCACTGCTCCGTCTTACCCTCCCTCGTTTCTTTTTCCCATAGGTCCTTCTGCTCCCACTGTCGCTGATTGGGCTCGCTGCTGGTTTTGTTGTTCGTCCGCCTCAGTGGCTTTCTTGGTCCCGCCCTGGCATGACGCGTCATCCCCACCCCGTTTTTCACTCTTTCCGAGCTTCAGAAATAGATGCCCGTCACCACCGCCAGCATAAACATTCTCGAACCCGTTCTTGACCGCGTACACCAGCCATCGCTCCACTCCCCCGGTCTCCAAAATGACGATGCGACAGGAAATGACGCAACCAATTGCCCGTGACGCACCCGGTGCCTGTCGTTCGTCGATCGCGGGTATCGGTCAGCACACACCCGCGCCGTCCTAGCTCGTTCCTATGCAGCTTATTCTCTGCCTGTCCCGTCATTATGCTTTCTATCAACGTCCAAGTATCTAGTAGTAGCCGCGTCCGAGGCGTTGCGACATGACGCGATATCATATGACCCTCACAACGTGTGTCTGCGGTACCGAAGAGCGCCATGCTTTTTTTGTGCAGGTACTAGCTGTTGAGCACACTGGATCCATGGCCCTACACAACCCTTCTCTTATCACATCGCCATTTCAGCACATAGTGCAGCTGCTGAGACCAAACTTCTCCAACCTTGACTTTGCCTATGCAAAACTGTTATTCGCCCACTTCGTACATGATACACTTGGTGCCGAACGAGAGTATGTCCGTTCATACATGCACATGAATGCACGCAGTAGGTCCGTCGTTTCAGGGCTGATACAGAGCACGTGCGGAAGCTACTCTTTATGTGGATCCAAAGGCTGCGTACTGAACATAGGGACAATTGGGAGCTCAATCACCCTAATCACTCATCCGAATCAGCGACACCTTTGTAGTAAATACTTTGCCGACAACCACGTAATCATACTTCCATTTGCCATATTCGTGATCCTTACCTATAGGAAGAAAGGCCAATGTGGATACCAACGTCTGGAAAGACGACCTTACTACGGCGCGTTCCGGGCTCCTGAACTTAATTTGCAGCATTTCGTGTTGCAAAGCAGCCACCCAATCAGCGCACAAGCCTTACCCTGTGGAGCAGAGGACAACGCTGAAAGCTTCTCAAAACTTCTCAAAAAGCCTTTGGAAGCGTTGGCGGCATACGGCCTGCGATGTTCTTAAACTGAGAAATTCCCAGGCAACATAATTACTCAACGCCGGCCACATGCATCAACCACAGCTACCCTCAGACACGTCAAACTGTATGAGTACTTCTTGGACAATCCTGCAATGTCAGTGTTTTGAATCATGAACCTAGAACCTAGAACTCATGACAACCTTCAAGTCCGACGCCAAGTACAAGAGATTCGCCGAACGCAATGTGCCGTATCGGGCTAAAGGTGCTTGGCGTCAAGATTCCCGATTCAGGTCCTTCCTAATCTGTTTGCCTTGGTTTGTTTCGACCACCTGCAGGCTCAGCCTCGTGGCATCTTGGTGTTGTGTGAATGTGGTTGAAGTTCGGTTCAGCGGTCCGCACCTCTAATCTATTCAAATTAACCTCTACAAGGATCTACACGCTATCGGACATAACGTGCTAGCACGAAAACCATTCCAGATCATCATGCTAATGCTGCGAGTAATACCTTACATGCTCGTGGATTAGAAGGTTACTGCATGTCGGGTAACGGTAGTGCAACAGCTGACTGCCGTGCATCGGCTGTTGACATCAGAGATGGTTGTCTGCTATTGTACTGAAGGCGACGGATTGCGACTGTTGACCACCAGCGCGACCGTTGATCACCGGCTTGGCCGTGAGTCTACTGCGACCGATTGCAAATTCATGCGGCCATGATCCTTCCGTTAATGGCCCGAAAGGGTTTCCACTGTTTGAAAACATGGAAATGGCATGTTCCACTATAGACTCAATGAGGTTGCCATATGGCTGGTGACCTTGCGAGTAGGCGCCATGCCCCTAGCCGAGAATATATTGCCTAGCCCCAACGTGTAGGAGAATACTGCACCAGCGATATTAATCCAGGCCCCGTTTTTACACACCTGGCCTATCACATCGACAAAACCCAGTCACAGGACTGGAACCTCAACGTTCAGTCACGTTCTAAGAGCGTGGCGACAGGGGGTGATCTTTCCACAATCGGATGGCCCACAATTCAGAAGCCGGGGAGACAAGTACTTCGAAATGAATCTTTTGATTGCAAGGCGTATGGAAAACCTGGTCGAAGGTAGGTGGAGGCGTTGAAAGAATGACGCTAGAAGGATGGCGACGAGTATATGAACAAGAAGGAATCCAGCCTCAAGGTCTTGCTCAACAGGGACTTCTCAGCAACAGCCTCTTCACTTCCAATCTCTTCTCTGCATCGTTTGAAACGATCGTTTTCACTCCACCTCCTCAAATACCACCATTATGCTCTCCCTCCTCGTTCTCCTTGCGCCCCTTGTGGCAGCTCACGGTCATGTTGACAAGGTCGTTGCCGATGGCAAGGAATACCAGGGCTGGAACGCCGCTCTCAAGTACCAGAACCCCATTCCTGCCACTGTTGGCTGGCAAGCCGACAACCTCGACAACGGCTTCGTCTCTCCCGATGCCTTTGGTACCTCTGACATTGTCTGCCACAAGCAGGGCAAGAGCAACGGTGCCTACGTAACCGTCAAGCCAGGCAGCAAGGTCACCTTCAAGTGGGATACCTGGCCCGTCAGCCATGTTGGTCCTGTCCAAGAGTACATTGCTGCTTGCAACGGCGACTGCGGCTCCGTCAACCCCTCCAGCCTTCAGTGGACCAAGATTTCATCCAAGGCCTGGAAGTCGGGCAGCAATCCCGGCAAGTGGGCTACCGATGACTTGATCGCCAACAACTTCTCGTGGGACATTACCTTCCCCAACGTTGCTCCCGGAAACTACGTCGTTCGCCACGAGATCATCGCTCTGCACGCGGCCGGCCAGACCAACGGCGCACAGGCATACCCCCAATGCATCAACTTCAAGGTTGAGGGCTCTGGAACCGGAAGGCTCAGCGGTGGCACTCCCGCTACCAGCTTCTACACTGTAAGATCAGCATGCCCTTCACCCGATTGACATATCAGAACACTGCTAACACAAGATATAGGCCAACGACCCTGGTATCAAGTTCAACGTCTTCACTTCCTTCTCCAGCTACCCTGTTCCCGGCCCTGCTGTCAAGACTCTGGCCAAGAGGCACGCCAAGGATCTTGAGTACTAGAGCACCTTCTATGCAGCACAGGAAAAAAAACAAATTACTGCATAAACTGCGTCGCGAGTTGATGGATGGCAAACCGGGTAAAGTCGCCGTAACGTGGACCATCCCAATCGCTTAATCCTCGTGGAGAACCCCCCGGTCTTTTGTCTTGTTACACCTTTTTCTTTTTTCAAACAGACAAAGACTATTTGTAAATAACGACTATTTTTTGAAGGAGAGAGAAGAGACCATTCTTGTACATATTATCCTAAGCATAGCCATGAAATGCCACACATTTGCTTGCTTGCAACATTTTTGACCACCTCCCCTTTTTTTCTTTCCTAATTACCCGAAACAACTTAACACAGTGCTTTAAGAAAACGTCATGGCATGTCTAACGATAGAGTTTGACACGACCCCCCCCCCCGAGCAAGAAAAATCTCCATACGTGCTACACATCACAGCGACGAATATGAAACAAAGGGCACCACCGACTTTGCGCGTATTTTTTTTCTTTGAGCTCGGGAAAAGTTTCTTTCTCTTCGTAGCTTTTCTGCTTCCAGCATCTTCGGTCGCCTTTTGCGCTAGCGGTTCCCCGTTTCAGGCCCCGTCAGGCATACGTAGGTAAAAAGTGTATGTGTATGTTCTAGACGTCAACTAGGCAAATGTGAAACTCCCCCCCTCTCCTCTCTCTCCGCTTTTTTTAACCGCTGTACATACGCTACTGTTTTGAAAGCTCTTCGTTGGATGTCGCTCTTGCTGTCGGTCGGCTCTTTTGTTCTTTCCCCACTTTTGCAATCTTGTATATATCCTTGCTTCTTAGTATGGCATGGTATACGTGCGATGCGTGTGCAACGCCGCCCCTCGTGGAAGGGCGGAGAAGGGCGTTTGTTAGTATGCATGCACATGCGTGTGCGCGGTGTTCTTGGCTGCGGGGTCAGTGTGAGTCTGGATCTGGCTGTGTCTTTGTGCATGGGTTGTGGTGGTGATGGTGGTGATGAGAAGGGGGGTTGTGTGACATGCTGTTTGGTAATTGGTCAGTGATTCTGGTGGAGTGCACGTCTCTGGAATCTGGGTTTTGGATTCGTCTGCCGGTGGAACAAGAGAGAAGTGTTGTGGAAGTATGCCGGACACGCTAAGCTAGTAGTTTCTTTTGTTCGCTCTTTGAGTAATTCGCTTTGGTGAAGATGCAACTGCTGGAAGATTGTTCTTCATGTTTTGTAGATTACCCATAGTTAGTTATAGTGTTGAACGCGTTGTTGTCTGCTTACGCCCCTGAGGTGCTTACAAATCCATGAGCTTCTTGAAAAGAACATCGCACATCGCACATCTATGTTCACGTTCCTACTGGCTATGCTACCATCTCTTTCATGGAGTAGTCATTCAATATTGGACTGCTTTTCCTGATATTGTTGCTTTGTAGGGGTTTTTTTAATAACTACACGGACTTCTCTTGAAGAAGCGACCAAAAAGGCAAGCCCTGCATGCAATAAAGACATACTACGCTACACAAGATATCTTCTAGTCACGTGAACTTCGTATTTGGCGGAGCGCCACGGAAGACTCTGGGCTCACCTACTTAAGGGAGCCTAGAAGCGGTTGCTTTTGATTAGTAGGCAGTTGGGTCTTTTTGAATGCGACAAAAAGAGCCTGTGAGACAGCTCTATTCTTCCACAGTTTGTTGGGTCTTAGTAAGTCCTACACTTCGAGCTGCATCTTTACTACGTGCTTGTTCTTGCTGATAGAACTTGCTTGTTCCCCCTCTTATCTCGTACTATATGAACTCCAATACTTCTTTGATATCTAATAGCCTCTCTGCGCTGTCATCTAATGTGTCCATCTAATGACCCGTGGAACCTTCTTCGCGGTGCGCCAATCCTGCAAACTCAAGTTCCAGCTTGTGGCGTTCCGGGGCTCTCGACACATGGTCCGTGCACGCTTACTCAAGCAAAGCCAAGGTGACCTTTGCTATCCCTCATCACAACACGCCTCTCTCACCACACGCCCAACCCAAGCCGCACGACACACGACACCACTATGACTTCGTCCATTTTCTACAAATTCAAAAACTCCAGGGATAGCGAACGCATAATCTTCAATGGCACTGATCTAAGCGTCTTCGAACTTAAGAAGGAGATCATCAGCGCGAGCGGCCTGGGCGATGGAACCGACTTCAACCTCCACATCTTCCCGCAAGATGATCCAGCTTCAGAATACAAGGACGATACTACACTTATACCACGATCCTCCACCGTCATCGCGATACGACGCCCTGCTCCAAAAGGGCAGGGCAGGGCAGCACGCTATGTCACAGGCAAGGCGCCGTCACGCGCAATCACTACACAAACCAAGCCTGCGGCGCCTCTGCCTCAAGCGAATAATGCAACACCAGAAGATGCTGAGGCAGCTTTCCTGGCAGAATCCGCCATGGCATGGGATGCCCAGAAAGAGGCTCTTTCACACGCGAAGCCGGTCTATCGCAAGAACAACACCAAGAATGTAGTTGTCCCGTCGCACCCACCGCCACCAGGTTACGTCTGCCGCCGCTGCAACATCAAAGGTCACTGGATACAGGCCTGCCCAACCAACGACGACCCCGACTTTAAGCCCGCCTTCCAGGCCAAACGCACAACTGGTATACCACAGTCCTTCTTGAAGAAGGTTGAGAAGCCTGTCGACGAGGAAGCTGCGAAGGGCATCATGCTCAACGCTGATGGAGAATATGTACAGGTCATGACAGACACAAAGGCATGGGATAAATTTCAAGAGAAGACAAACGCATCACGTGCGCGCGCAGCGAGTGCTGATGCCGCCAGCAAGGAGCTCCGCGAACGCGGACTCGAATGCCCAATCGACAATCAGAGATTTGTTGACCCTGTCAAGACTCCATGTTGTGGTAAGACATACTGCCGCGAGTGCATCGATAATGCGCTTGCAGATGGTGATTTAGTTTGCCCCAACTGTGCAAAGGAGGATGTTTTGATGGATGATCTTATTGCCGACGATGATATGGTCAAGTCTCTCAAGGCATACGACGCAGAGAAGGCAGCAGAGAAGGAGAAGGCAGCAAAGGCAGCAGTTGCTTCAACAAATGAATCAGTTTCTCAATCCCATGCTACTGACAACACAAATTCTCCCGTCGCAAATGACACTACAAATACTACTAGTGCTACTAGTGCTTCTGTTGCGGCAGCGGCGGACGAAGTCTCCGATACTGACTCTACTTCATCTAAAAAGCGCAAAGAGCCTCCGACAGATATCAAGCCACCAACCGCACCAAAAGCAATGCGTCAAGCAGCCGACCCCGCGTCGAAGATGGAACAGGAATTCATTCAGCAAATGGAAATGCTTAAAAACGCGCCAATGGAACCAATGGGCATGCCAATGAACATGCCGATGCCTATGCCGATGCCAATGCCAATGCCCATGCAGATGCCAAACCAAATGGGCTTCCAAAATGGCTACCAGATGGGTTTTCCACAGCAACACCAACAACAAGGGCCGCAACAGGGGTGGTTTCCCCAGCAGAACTTTGGGTATGGTCAACAGCAACAGTATGGTCAGCAGTTCGGCCAGCAACAGCAGTATGGATGGGGTGGAGGACAAATGCAAGGGCAATGGGGCGGTGCGCAGGGACAACAGGATAATGATGCATATGATAGGCAACCAGTAAATCCTCGAGGTCGCAATCGCAGATCTCGTGCTCCAGATTATCGCTACCTGTGAGCGTTTTCTTGGTATCATGCAGTGTTTTTGTGGACATTCATCAATTGGGAATGCTGGGCTTTGCATACCCATTTTCCATTACATATACTTCAATTAGGGTGGGAGGAGATGGCATGTTTTCATGGTGTTGGGGGAGATGATCGTTATCTTTTGGCGTTTGGCGGGCCACTATTATCCAACACCATTGTCACTGGGCTTGGACAGCTCATGTGCTTGAGTGAATGACTTTGTTGTTATTCGTAACACGGACTATGAATCAATGCTTACTCGGATTACTGTATATAAATTGCTGTCTACAAGGGAATTAGAGGTTGTTTTCTTTATGAAAATCTGTTGCATGTGATCACTGAATGTGTGCGATGCGAGACCAGGGGAGATGGCCATTCTGTTTGTAGCAACGGAAACTATTTGTTTTTGACGGAATTCCGATAGGATCATCGTATCTCCGAACTGCTCTTCGCAGCTTTGGTAGAATAAACAAAAAATCAAACTGAGCGTTGCTAGGGACCGGGACTGGCAACGCGTGGGGCCGAATCTATGGAAAGGGCGGGTGAGACTAGGCGAGGAACGGGAGTTCCGGATTAACAACGAGCGACCTCCAGTCCTAGAATAGTCTAAAAAAAATCATAAGTTAACAAAAGAATACAGTGCTCCTCCTAGTCTTTATTCTTTGCTCACAAACACATGTTCCTTGACGATCAAATTATTGAATTGGATAGCAAGAGGTTCTTGTTGCGCACAAGAAAATTAACTTTTCTCCAGACTCAAATGGCCCTGAACATCAGTTTTACTGCTGCTTCCCGATATAGGCTGCTACACACACATCTTCAGTGTTCATCTGGATGACAGGAGATATATATATATTACCATAGTGAGCAGCCAATCACAAACGGATGCAACCCCTCCATCCCCGCAGCCTCGCAGCTGGCACTGCCACTATCTGACATACATTTCGTATTTCACGTATAACTATATATCATATCGCTTCGATCAGCCTTTCCTTCTCGCGCGTCTCAGAATTAGAGCATTCATATAAAACCAAACGTGGTGTTGGAAACGTTCAATCCTCAGGCCTTCCAACTCTGACACTAAATGGCGGAAGCAACGCCGTTTGTACGACCATATGACGCATCCCGTGACTTCGAGCATGGCATGCACGTGGTACATATACATTCACAACAATCAACTCACCCACTGAGATGTGCTAACAACACTGCTCCCGCAGTATCTTTCAACCATCGACCCAGTTCTCGACTGGGAACCTGCACGCACCATAGGCTCCCACCTATGGTACAAGCCCTATGTCGCCCTGACACCAGAAACATGTTTTGTGCTTGACGATGGCAATGGGCACATAGTCGGGTACTGCATCGGCACAGCAGACACGCTATCTTTTGCGCAGCGCTGGCGCGAAGAGTTTGCTCCAAGCGTAGACCGCACGCTTGTTCCTCCTCCTGATGTACACGTCGGTGGTGACGATGACGCTGCGTCACTCATGGAAAAAGAGGACATTAGGCATTTTCGGAAAGCGGTGTATGAGGCTGATTGCAGTATGTTGCAGCCGTGGCCAGAGACTCTACGGCAGTATCCAGCGCATATTCATATTGATATCTTGAAAGAGTATCAAAGAAAGGGATGGGGGACGGTGTTGATGAAGAGATTCTTTGATAAGGCCAGGGAGATGGGGGCGAGTGGTGTGCATTTGGACATGGTGCAGTCGAATGTAAAGGCTCGGGCGTTTTACCAAAGTATTGGGTTCAGGCTTTGTCAGCAGGTGTTGGATGGAGGGGAGAGTGGTGGCCCTGGTGTGAATGGTATTGTGGTGACTTTGGTCAAGGATCTTTAGTGTCGAGGAATGTAATGGAATGCTGTTGATGACGCATGGCCACGTACCCTTTTCCTTCTCCACGACCATTGCGAATGCCTTTGCTGGCATGATTATTCAACGATATGTGATGAGTTGGACGGAAGTGATGTCCTCCGACAGCAAGGCAACAGCGCTTCACGAGCAGCGTGGTTAGCGGCACATTGCTGCCCATTTATTATATTAACCTCATGATGAAACGCCCGAATGTTCTCTATCATCACACTCCACATTCTTCCTATTTCTGAGCGAATGCCATTTCCACGCATATCTCTGAACCACATACAAAATGGCTACATACACTCAACAACAAATATCATCGAGCAATACTCCAGTCACTAGCATCGCACAGGTCCCTACCTCGAATTTAGCAGAGCAGCCCACTGCTTTCCTCCCAAGCTCAGCAAGTAGGAAAATCTACCCAACTATCTTCACTCTTCCACACGTCGGTAGAGAAATACACTCACGAGAACTCATTCCCGCACAATCAATCTTCAGAGCTGAGTCTTCTACTACCTGGAATAACACCAGCCTCTACACTGACGATTTTACAGCATCCAACACCACCAACAAGACCGACAAAGACCCCGAATACAGAATCTCCATCCTCATCCAAAAACTAGCTGCATTCTTCAAAAGCCTTCCCCCCGTTCTCACACAACCAGCACCAACAACCCCGCCGCCCTTAACATCTCCGGCAGTCCCCAGAACCACCCCCGCGAACCCACCTTCCCCAGCTTCCTCCTCCCCTACATCCCGGCACCCTCCTCTTACGCATCCTCTTCCTGCTCCTCTGGCGATGAAAGCGACAAAGAATCCACTCGCCAGAAACAGAAGCAAAAGCAAAAGCAAAAAAGGTGCTGGGTAGGCCGCCCCCGAGGCGCAATTTTACGACCAAGAGATCGATACTATTCACGGGGACTGTGCGATAAGCACGGGAGCGAAGTATTGTTCTTGGAGAATATGCGGATTCATCATGGGGCAAAAGGGGAGGAGGGTGAGAGGTGGCATGCGTGGAGGTGTGGGTGAAATGCGAAAATGTGATATTTGGGTGTATCGTACTGGACAGTGCGATTGAGAAGAAACTGGATCCGGGACAAAGAAACTGAATCATTTGTATCCACATTTAACGGAATACCTGTTATGGCAGAACGGATATTCTCATAATAACTATTTTCCTGAATAAATGCTAATTAATACAGAGGGGTGACATGGAAAAAATAT